CACTGCTGAGAAGTCCTATACTGTTAATCCAGCTGATTTCAGTCCCGGCTGAATATCAACTTGCAAAAAAATTACTAAATCCCCACAAACCCCAAATTAAGATTGTTAGCTTATTCAGTCATACATTAAGAAGTCAAATAGTAATAAGTACTGATGAGTTAGAAAATTAATGGACGCATGAGATTTTTCAGTCATATAAAGGGATATAGTCTTTTCATTATTCAGCAACACTTCTAAGTGACAATAAATTATATGTCTGATAATCAACTTAGTCAGTGAAAATATGAGTACTTCAGTTTTCATTGGGTGATGATTGAAGGTGAAATGAAAATTTGGACCGCAGTCGGATTCCAACCATCAACCACCGGGTTTCCGGGCCGATGCTCTACCATCTGAGCTTTGAGGTCCACCTATTGACCAAATTTTTATTCACTTCAATCACCATAGGTTTTTCACTGACTACTAGTCTACTAAACCGCCGCTATCTCAGATGGTCAAATGACTTCAATTTCTATCTCCTTAAGAGTCACATTTTCCCTATATTTGTATTTATGTATAAATATAATAAGACTATGTCATTCTTATTGCCATATTCTTAAAAAGTTTACAAATTAAAGCATCAAATCCTCAAAGGATGATGATAAGTAGGTAAATTAAGTGTTAAAGAAATATAAGCGTAACGAAAATAAACTTGCTAATGATGGTAATTTGGTGTTCTCTGAGCTTTGGTATTTGGTTGTGAATGTTTCATCACTAGACTGAGTGATATCTTCAGCACTAACTTTACAAATAAGTGAGGCATTTTCGAATATTACACGAATGATTAGACAATGTTTTATTTGACCTCGAATGCTGTGCAATTGTAAGTTGGGAAAGGAATACCTTATCATACCCTGACCTCTTTGACCTAAAACTTTCTTCCATCATAACATTAGATACTCTTTGTTGAGGTGAAATTGTACCATTTATTATTGTCAAACTCTGCATCGTTATTAATGTTACAGGTCAGTTGGATCTTGATCGATGGATAATAGTTTTTTTTCTAAGTGGATTGTAGATTGGGTCTATATCTACATGTCTGTTGATTGACATTTTGTTTGAATGCCATGCAGCTAGAAATTCTCTTGTAGCACTTTGGAGAATTTCCATATTCTTTCAGTGAAATTTGCGATTGTGATTGTCTAGATGCATTGACACCAAGGAGACTGCATCATATCTCTTTACTGCTAGTTAGTGTTCATGAATTCTTTGAGCAATCCGAGAGCTAGACTGACCAGCATAATACTGTGAAAAATTTTTGCAATTGATTTTGTTCAGTAAATTTGTTTTGCCTTCTATTGGCAGTTGGTTCTTTGGTTTGCACAACATGCTGTGAAGAGATTTTGTTGGTTTGTGAGCTACTCTGATTCTGAACGGATGAAGTGATCGGTTGAATGTTTCTTAAATATCTTTGAAGGGAAGCGTAACGTGCCTTTTGATTTGAGGTAGTTGCCGTGTTTTCTATCTTGCTGATAAACACCTTTTGATAAAGTAGAGTTAATAATTATTGGCTTTGAACACCTTGTATAGGTATTTTTCCTTGTTCTTCTGTGGTGCTTCATTGCTGCTATGTGTTCTGGCCCTTGAGAATAATGTTTGTACACAACATTTCTTATGGACTGTGTGATGATTGCTGTTGGAGTGTAATTTTTGGTCTGTATGTAGTTTTGTCGTACACCAGTTTGTAAAATCCCTTCGTGCGTTCTGCTGATAAGGAAATCTGAGAATGGGATTTCTTCATTGGAATTCTTTTCTTTTGTGAAGTGAATGTTATCAAATACTTGGTTGATTAGTTTGAACGTGTTTTCAATTTCATCTTCCTTGAGAATTACGAATGTGTCGTCGATTTACCGAGTCCAAATTTTTGGATTGATGAGATGGATGACTATTGATTTCAGTCGCTGCATCGCACCTTCGACAATCAATCTTGATATTAGTGATCTCATAGGTGTACATTTTATTTCCTTGTAACTCTTTCCATTGAGTTCTGAATAGGTCGTAAGACATAGCTCGATCAATTTCACTAGGTTCGGAACGATGATCTTCGTGTAGTCAGAAGGGGTCTGGTCGTTCTTCAGAAGGATATTCATCGTCTTCTTGACTAAATTTGAGTCGATTTAAGCGAAGAGTGAAGTCATATCAAAAGATATCATCCTTTCATCACAGCTTACCCTTAAATCTTTCTTTATACCCTGAAGTTCGTCTAGAAATTCCTCAAATTACAAATTGGACTACATTCGAGGTCAATAAAAACTGTCTAGAAATTCGTACAATATTTGATTATGCTTCACTTCTTTGTGAAGATATCATTACGCCTGGTGATGAAACGCTCATGACCAAGTATCAAAGCTCTGAAAACACCAAGCTACCATCATCTTAATTCTGAGCTGGAAATCTTTTCAATCATTTCATAAACGGGCTAACGTTATGTATCCATCCACAGTGTGAATATATGAGACCTTGTCCTGTCACTGCTTCAGATTATATTAGGAGTTATCGTGACTGTCTGTCACACGTTTTATAAACTATTCACTGAGTGATAGTTTTTGAAAATCAGAGGTATGATTACTCTGTTTAAGCCAAATGAATATTTTCAAATACGTAATCTGTTACCATGTATACATAAGAAAATCTCAGCACTTTTTATAAGGTCATGTTTTAATATATATGACTGAGTAATTATATAAAGTCTCTCCATTATCCATGGCAAACTGAGAACCTAACGATAAATTTGCGCATTTAGGATAATGAATTTCGGAGGCAACATGGGACATGTTCGTTTTAGGTGCAAAATTTATGGAAATCATCTAGCTGGTAAGCTTTGTCGGTCGTTTGACAACTTATAAATTTTGAAAGTCATCTGTGGCTAGACTTTTGATATAAATCCTTATGTACGCTATCAAAGCTACTGAATCAAACAGTTTACATGCGTCTACGACACTGAGAGGAATTAGCAAATTGCTAGTTAAACTCAAATACAGAATGAGTTTACTCCATGAAACTGTGTTGAAAAAGTGAAATTTTCAATCCATCCTACTTCCTAACTATAGTTCACTTTAACACTAGTTATAGTGTTAGCCATGGCATGACATTCTGGCCAGTAGTACACCATCATATTCTTTCGGTATTATAATGTAATTAGGTGAGTACAGCCAACTGAGCGTCCAGTACCCTGAGTTCGTACACAGTATGCTTAGTTCATGCTATTCACCTAATGTTACGAATATATTCACAATTTCGTGGTCATTGTGTGTTGATATTCAAAGGATATTACCATAAATATAATTAGGGTTACCCTCTCCCCTTTTATAAAGAAAATAATTTTTTAAGATAGATGAGTCAAATTAAAACGTAACGGTGTCAACATGATTAGTTAAGTTAATTAAAAAATTATTTTGATCCTAAGTCACAATCATATAGACGACCATAATATTTGTTGAGAATTAATTGGGAAAATATTAACACTAGGTAGAGCTAATGAAAAATATCAGTGTGTTCAAGAAACAAACGCCTTTCAGATGCACCTTCAGTATGTAATTCAAGTTTACTCAAGAGTTCTACATACAGAAGGATAAAGCGGCACTTCAGTCTAGGTGATTACTTCTTAAAATGTTTTAAAAACGGTGTTCTTAAACCGATAATCAGAAAATAAACATTTACAAAAGGTGTGTCAACGAAAATTTTATCATATTTAATTCAGAATTCTATGAAAACAGTTTCCGCAACACTTTCAATACTGCTTACTATGGCATAGAATCTACTCTAGAGCGTGAATCACATTCCTTGTTCATACCCCAAGATATGCTATTACCAAGAAGATTGGATGAACTCTTTTCAGAGATCAATCTACAGAAAACTATCATGCGACCAGACAATGTTTAACTTTTAAAGTTGTCTCTCTCAATAGTAAACAGTAGCTTGTATGTTCGTTATGTTCACGAATTTAAAATGATTATCCTGAAAATGCATTAGACAGTCAGCTGAAATTTCCACTTAACATCCCACTAGGAAACGCATAACTAGTAAGAGATTTTTGACTCTGGATTGAAAGAACAACCAAAAACACAAAAGTTATCAGCCACTTCGAAGAAAACCCTCTACATGAACCTTGATTTCAAAGGTGACATTGCACCTGAAATTCAAAAAATCACCTTTCCATATCTTTGGGGAAGATATTTCATACAGGCAGTCTGAGAATCACATTCTTCAGTAGGCAGCTAATCCACCTCTGTGCAAAATACTGCTTTGGGTCAACTAATTCTGAAATAATCAGTTTACTTGTTTCTGCGGATTAAAGTACATTGGCTGTAAATTGTGTGACGTTCAAGAGCGTATTTTAGAAAAATTTCCAGTCTGATTATCTAAAGGAGGAAGAGGGAATATCAACAGTTCTGTCATTGAAAACCTCGTTTTCTAGACATTTTCCCTCCTCAAAAGTGATTTACACTGCACCCCTCCCCCACAATTGCAAAAGAACTGAGACTACATCACTCATGAATGGTCAATTCATTGGTAATACCTAATCTTCAACGTGTTCTTTATGTTCAAAGAAATAACGCATGCTGAGTATCTTTACTTTGTCGACGGTAGTAATTTCCTCTAACTTAACCTCATTTAATTTCTGAGTATTATATTAACTATGTAATCCTACTGAGTAGCAGTAGACTGTTATTTATTTCAAATAAATATGATTATGCAGCTTTGGTAAATGAAACCAAGGAGAAACGTTTCTCTTCTGTTACGTCTTCGATCTATGCAGAACCATCAGAATTTTGTTTAACCTAGTTCAGGGAACATTGTTACTTAGATTTCAGTAATCAAAGCATTCAAACTGGCTTCCTGACAGATTTTTGGGCTAAATATAACTCATATTAGTCGTTTCATCAACTGAACAGGCCTGTCGTGGAAACTGTGAAGACTAAACTAATTACAAAATCAAAATTAATTAAAACGAATTTTACCTGTATGAGGGAGATGCTTTAGCTGCTGTATACGATCCAGGCCCATCTGCAACAAAACAAGCCACACGATATGCCAAGAACACTCCAGGCCAATCACATTCGGCAAGTCTTATCAGGGATGGTTTAGTCTCCGTGGTTGAAGTTTGGTTATTACTGCTGTTTGTTTGTGGTTTATCTTGATTAATAGTGAACGTGGGTGGGTGATTTGGATAGTACGTCAGTAGAGATTTTAATCCTTCAATATATTCTTCACTGCCTTCAGAAATAGATTCAGGGTCAGTTGGCAAGAAAGACGTTTCAGCTTCCAAGGAAGGTTTTTCATCTGAAGGCTTAAGATTTCTTTTATCTGTCATTTTTTCCTTTTTGATAGGAGTGTTACGACCTGCTTTTGGTAGAGGCTGGTTTAACTACAAAGAAAATTAACATTAGAAAGTATTATATAAGCACTGGTAGTCCCTGAGTTTATCACAATTGTCTTACGTTAAGTGGTTCAACAGAATAAATACCAACGATTCCAGGTTGTTGCTGCTTATGATAAATCAGAGCTGTGTTTGAAAGAACACATGTTTATCATGAAATACTGAGGATTTCTTCAATAAAGACAGAAATAAGATATACCTGATATTCGCAAGCAGTGAACGGAATATTATTCTGATCTTGAATGTTATTAAAATCAGTATCTGGATTTTAAGAGATATCATCAGGATGTGATCGATAGGAATAACGAAGTGTATCAACTGAAACGATTTACAAACTACGTAATTTGGTATTCACAGCCAAAAAAACAGCTCAATAAATATGCAACATCTCATCAGAGTAATTGATTATGCTTAATCCTCCTCTTTCAAGTCTGGAAAAATCATTACACCTATACCAAGGAAATGGCCTCTCTAGGCCTCTACCTCAGTATATGAACGGTAGGCTGTTGGCAATAAAATGTATGAATTCAAAATCTCATTGTTTCAGATATTGAACGAAGGTACCATAAGTGATTATTTAAGCATTCAAGCTTTCAAAGACACCATAGAGTATACATATGGACCACTGTTATCAATTTCAAGCCATGTCACGAAGAGTTCTTCATCATCTCTAGGATCTCAAATAGGGAGTTTACACCTGTCTACATGAATCAGATCCAAAGTCAGAGAATTTATGGACTGATGTCACTTCATGATCTGATCACCTTGAGGCTTCTTCGAAATCAATCCCACACGGGCTAACATTGTAGGTTGAGATAGGCAGTTGTTCAGCATGAATAACGCTTGTCGAAGCCACCTTAACTGCTTGAAGTTAACAACATCACCGATTAACTAGCCTTCCTTTCCCAGTACCTCTGACTGGATTGCAGCACAGTAGACTTGTCCTTTAGTCGATAGTTGTATATCTCGTCTTTACGAGAGATGATAAAAGTTGGTAAACGGACCTCGTATATCGGAAGTGAGATATTGTTTTATTTACCTTGATGAATGCATGGGTAACGGAAACACATACCAGTAAGTGTTAATAGGGTTATATTTAGTGTTAATTACAAGTTTATATATACACTGCAAAAAACACTGCTGTTATTTCAAACTTAAGGGTAAATTATTAGATTGCTTTGGATTGATGGTTATGATATGTCAGTGACCGAGAGTGAAATGAGAAGGGAAAACTAGATTCATGGAACGTCGTTCAGGGATTTTGTAAGGTAGAACTAAAGATAAACGCATGTAAAATTACTTTATATGGCTGACCTGCTCTTATATACTAATTCGGTTAGTTTCATCCTATTTACCAAAATGTTCTTTAGAGTAGGTTAATTGTCAGTAAACATATCATTAGGATAATGCATCATGCTCGATCTTTCCCAACCATATTACCTCTTACGGGTCTGCTTCTCACTGAAACATGTGTATATTGTGGTTTGCGATGGATAACTTTTAAGGTGTGATGAATGTCATGTGCAAAATGATCAGTGGCACGGTATTGAAACAATCGTCATAATTATCTTGCAAAACAAAATGATAGTACACGTTATATAGTAGAGAATAATCTTTATTAGTCCCTGGTAAGATGATTTTAAATGCTAACTATATGAAATACAACAAATACTGTTACTTGGTGATGACTGAAGATGAAATGAAAACTTGGACCACGGTCAGATTCGAAGTAGGGACCACTCAGCAGGAAACTTGGTGGCCATAGGTTCGAATCCAGGCGTGGTTCAAATTCTCATTTCACCTTCAACTATCAGCCTGCATCAATACTAGTCTGCAAACCACGGCTATCTCAGATAGTCAAAATGATGAACAAATACTGTCACTCACCTTGTCTAATTTCCCAGTTGTACCTTCTTCGGGAGATAGTGGGTTGTCTTTTTACGTTTTTCTTTGATTAGATCACATAACCGGCTAGCTTCCTGTTGAATACACTGCTTACTTAAGCATGGTGAAAAACGTATATTTATCTGTTGATTCTAAAAACAAAGTGTTGAGTACTACTTTGTAGAAACTGTATATATTATGAACGTTATCAAGGATAGCTGATTAAATTTAAAATACTTGGGTAACGCAAAGTTTGCAGATATGGTTTCATAAGAAGTGTTTAGAACTGTCCCCATATTATCAAGTAATTGTATGTTGAGGCGAAATGGCAAAAAAAAATGATCATTCAGCCTTGTATAATTGGTTTATGCAATCATTAGCAGGCTATCAAAAGTTGTTAATGCTATGAAAGAGAATGATGCTCATAGTACTTTACTTCCCTTACAGTAATATGTGAAATATACTTTTCGGAAAACATTGATATATTAATTACAAAAGAAAAGAAGTAGTTATGAAGAGTTGTTGTTCGAGTTACTTATTTTTCGATTTTGAAAAGCTATCAAACTTAGTAATCACATGGCGCTTATGATTTCCGAAGTTTGTGAAAATCTCTGACCTAGTGGTTGAACGTTGATAGTACTGATTTAAAAAAGGAATAATCGGAAAAAGATGGAAGGTAGATCAACCAAGTGGTTAATACTCACCTCCAAATAATTTGAGCTAATATACAAAAAACCCATTTTTATGTACTGTGGTTTAATGATTTAGGTTTATAGAAAGCCAACTTGTAGTTTTCTTATGATTTATAAGTATAACTAACATGGTATGAATTGTATAAATCCTCGCACTTTCTTGTTAGGTCAGCTATATTCAGGATATAAAAACAGGTATAAATATATTCAACGGTTGTGATTATTACAAGCCTTTCAGGAAGGAGTTTCGAGTTGATTTTATCTTCTAAACCAGTATCATAACAGAGCTTGTGATCAGGTGATTTTTTCGAAACTGTGAACATTTTTAAGGATTTCCAGAGTGTCTGGAGGATAGTGATTTTGATATTGTACACCATTACAGTTACATAGTTTCAGATGTCAAAATAAACAATTATATATATGAGTAGAAACATACTTTTATTTACTATATGAGTATTTAGATAAGATGGTCTGTCAAGTGAATGCCAGATATGATATTTTGATCTTTTCATTAAAATTTTTATAAGCAAATCAAACAGTTATTGGATTACCTTTCAACATATACTACTTATATCCATTCTTATCACTAGCATCCATTACAATGATGCTTTGCAGAATTTCGTATTTCAATATTTCTTGAAATGCTGACCACTGATGTATGAATAATCTAAACAGAACCTGAAGCATATAACCTACCCACCAAACAGAGTCAGCGAATCATTTTCATAAATAGTGGATTTATAATTGTACTGATGCACCTTGTTAGTAGTTTATAAATAAGTTGCACGGAAAACTACAAGATTCACACATCATCTTTATGCTGCTTAACTTACTTCTCCTGGTTTCAGTGTTCCAGTAGCTGGATAAAAGTCAATAAATGTTGACAAAACTGATTCTAGCATGTCGTTTACCAAATCATTATCTGTTGTCAAACCGTAAGGGTTAGTTGTTGTAGCTTTGACGACTTGAAGTTCGAAGGCCTTTGGTCCAACCGGGACTGGTTTTCTATCGGATCCAATGCATGGCTGTACATGAGCGTAAGGATTCGACGAAGTATGATGATTAATAATTTTTAAAGTTGCTAAAGAGGACTCATTGATGGGTGTTGGATTAAATTTAAGCTGATTGATAGACAAACTTAACGGTGAGTAAACTCCAATACCTTGACATGTTGTCATAAATATGCTGTTGGACATGGAAATGAAGAATATATGCTTGAGAATTACATGCCCATACAATTCAGTGAATACATGTTATGTGTTTAAATGTAAGGACAATTTAACCCATCATTCCTTCAAAGAAAACGTTTTGTATTTCACATTCCATTCTGTCCAAATTTTATATGATATTTAACAAAACTATTTCGTTATAAGTGTGATATGATAAAATCAAATCATATATTGGTTGTATCCAATACTAGAAAATCCCAATTATGAAGAAAAATATTTACAGTCAACAGTGGGATAATTTATCCTTCAGTAGCAGTGACCAAATCTTCATAGTCAGTATTTTTAATAAGTGAACTTCTACTTGCCTTACATCACTTCATATCTAAATCCTGCATCACTCGGTGATCTATCGAGATTGAGTTGACAATTTACAGATAATTGGCATGGGTAGACAAAGCTTGAAAGTATTTCGTAAGAGTAGATTCAACTGAAAGTTATCATTTCATATTAGACTTGCTTATGATATAGCGAACAGTGACATAGTATTCTTTACTTGGTGAGGTTTTGAGCATAAATTATCGAAAAATGTTATGAATTATCACTGACAATCAATCACACAAAAAGGTATTCACACAACTTTCAACACCTGGTTTTTATGGTTCAGTCACTTCTTATTCTTTGTTTTAAATGGTACTCATCTATTCCACATCTCCAGTATAGGCATTACGTCATTTTAGTAACATGTATTCGGTATCGAACCAATGATTGAAGATTCAGTGACCAATTTTTCTTTCTAGCTATACTGGAATTGAGTACAGTTGTTATGCGAAAAACCTCATCTGTTGCAGTGCGCGCAGTAACACACATCTGTATAATGTGGTGGAATAAAGCAACTATACGAAAAGCTAATATAGTCAGACAGAAAGAGATAGATTACTTACACTGACTGGTCACCTGAGAGCAACCAATTTCATCTTGTCTAGTCCCGGTGGATGTGGCCAGCACTCATGACCATTCCAGTGACTGATCAGAATATCTAATCTTGTCTCATAGAAGGCCAGTCGCAGCCTGAATAGTTCAGCCGTAAAAGTACTGAATGCACCACTGGGTGATTTGGGTTCAAATCTCACAAAGGACATCAGTTCGCATGAGGTTGACGATACGCCTTGCTGACGAGTGCTAAGAAGTACGAAATCTAGGTCAAGCAGGGCTTCCTGCCGATTACCTCCATTCAACTAACAAAACTGGTCATACTGTGAAAGTAACGTGTTCAAGTAATACATCTAATAGAAATTAGCGGTGCTTAGAAACAGACAATTTCCAACTCCATATTCTAATACTTTGTATTCGTTTAATTCTACCTTATACTCATCATATCTTGAGCATTGATCTTGTCATCCAATGTCCATGCAAGATGACTAGCTAGTACTTATACCACTCTCACTTGAAAGCATAGCAATACTCAGTTGAGGATTTATGACTTCTAAAAGTTTAGGTCAAATATAAAAAGTGGCGATTTTCAGTGAAAAATTTGAAATCAACTATGCTCTTCTGATTGGTAAACAAACGTTATACATACTTAAGCACTCGTAGAAAATAAATATTTCGCCTATCATACGATCAAAACGCCATTTTAAACTAACTGTCCATATTTTTAAGAGTTGGTAAACTTTTATTGTTTGCGGGAACTAAGGTGATATATATATATATATATATATATATATATATATATATCTTTTAACGTCACTATAATTACAAGTAATTTCCAGGGTTTAAAGTATTCCTGATATTTTTCTTTGTCTTACAGGGATTATACTTATAACTTACCGTCCGATACCTGATTTACATACAAGATTAAAATTATACTCCTTCGCTTTTTTCGGCTTAAACAACACCTCAAGTTCAATTGTCTCTTTTCCAAGGATAACACCGAAACCATTGTTCGGTTGAACGTCAAGAAACTAAAAAGCAAAGAGAATTTATTTATTCCAAGTATGACTACAATTGGTATAAGGTAAACACTATTAAAACAAATAGATAATTCAACATTTTCGAAATTTCCCACTATTTTCAAATAACTGAGATAACAGCATGCAAACTCACACGCACACACAAACAATCAAAGACAACGCTATAGTTAATCAAATGTAAACATGTTCAATAATCTGAAATCGTGTAAACTTACTCGAATCTAGCGTCTTTTTCACTTGGTAATCACTCTTATTTATATTGAAGAACAAACAATCAGAGAAATCAATCGCTTATTTACAATCAACAATTAATATATTAAAACTTTGCATTTTTATTACTGCAGACATATTAAACACTCCTCTTTACTGTGTAATTTATTGTTGCGTAGTTGACCTTTGAGTTGTATTAGTTAAGAAAAATGAATGAGAATTCTGTGTAACTTCAAGTCTGATAAAGACGAATACAAATATGCTTCAGTTAATTGACTAATTTTGCATTTTTATTGTTGTTCACCCTTACATTTCGATTAAAGAAGAATATTAACTTGCAAGTGAAAGTAATAAAGTATGTTTCCAATGCCACTGTTGTATAGTTTGGTTAACACTCAAGATTCAACTGAAATTCATTATTCATTGAGATTAAAACAAATAACTAACGTTCTTAGCAGTATTGTTTAATGTCCATTGATATATCAGCCAATGAATTATCACTGGAAACTAAGTAGACTTCTGGTTAGGATAGAACTTGTTAACTTTATCTCTACATTCACTAGCTCCCTTGGTAGAAGTCCTTTTGGATGTTGTGAAGGGGTTCTCATAGTTCCGCCTAAATATCTGACTTTACGAGAGCAGCTAAACTGAATTGCATATTGATCTACCTGTATGCGACTTGAGAAAGTTGTTATTACGATGTCCACTTAATGTTCAGTTTCTCTTTTCTTAACAGTCATGTGTACAGACAGGTAGGTGGGGTAGCAACGGGTTCCCTAAATGAACCAATACATGCTAACCTGCTCACATCAAAGTTGGAAAATGGTGTTTTGTAGCTGTACATAAACTCAATGGATACTCATTACAGATATATAGACGATACCTTAGTTGTGATAAGAAGATGAAGTTATACGGATTACAGGTGAGTTTTAAGGGATCACATCCACCAGTAACATTCTCACCTGAACTAGAAAACTTAGGTAAATTTTTTTTTCTGAATATCTTTCTAACTAGGTCAGATGGAGAAAAGTTCAGAAAAAGTGTTTATTACAAGCCGCCTTGAAGTTGGAGGGTGGGCACAGTCTTATGATTTTGTCCCGTTATGACAAGAAAGTAACTTGATTCGATATCCGTTTGAAAGGAACATTAGAATTTGCTCCAACGCTACGGTAGATAAAGGGCTACTAAATTTAATGGAGACTTCTAGATAGAATGGATGTCTCGAAAATTTCCTTAAAAAGAATATGGTAAGCAGAACGAAAAAGTCAATCATTTGCACCTGTGGTAGGAAGCAAAAATATTCATCAGCAGATAATCTAGCTGAAATCACTGCTAGCAGACTTCAGTGTTCATTAAAGAAGACTTTTTCAAGTTAGGAATTAACTAATTGAATGGTGGCTTTCATCATAGACAAAAGAATAATAACCTATATGAGATGATACCCAGGACCTTCAGGATATGTCATACATGACTATTCAGATAATAAGTTTGGATTCAACAGTTTACATTTTACATTATCTCTTAATTCGCGACATAATACCATAGTCATTTAGTGTAATCGATTAACACTCGTCATTATTTTCGTTATATGTCGTGTCACACAAACTCGAAGATCTACAGGCGAAGACTAACAAGTTGACAGAAGAAGCAGCAAAGACGGACTTCAAGTGAATGTAGAGAAGACGGAGGTGATGAAGATACCCAACTAACAACAGCATCAAGAACAACAAATTCCAATCACCGTCAACGGGAGAAACCTAAAGAAAGTAGCCTCTTTCACCTACCTGTTTAAACAGCATCGTTTCAACTACAGGCGGCACAGACAAGATGTAAAAGCCAGGATCAGAAAAGCAAGACAGTGTGGAGATCAGCTGCACTTAGCACAAAGAACAAGATCCGGATTTTAAACACCAATATCAAGTCAGTGCTGTTATATGCTTTAGAAACTTGGCTTGTAACAAAAAGCACTTCCAACAAACTACAGACATTCATCAACAGCTGCCTACGCTCACTCGATACTCAAGATCAGATGGCTAGAATAATAAGAATAAGCAATAAGGAACTCCGGGAACGAACAAACGAAGAACCCATTACCCAACAAATATGCAGAAGAGGAAAGTGGAGATGAATTGGACATACGCTGAGAAGGCCGACTGGGAAAATCACGTGCTAGGCTCACGAGTGGAACCCAAAGGGGAAACGATAAGTTGGGCGTCCGAGGTGAGGGTGACATGGAGGAGATCATGTCAGGAAGAGATCAAAGCTTGTAGGCAGTCTTAGTGCCAGGCTGAAAGGACTGCAGAGAACGGAGTGCAATGGAGGTGTGCCACTGAAGCCCTACGTGCCACTACTTACCCAAGAGAAAAAAATAATAAAATAATTATTTTCGATTAAAGCGACCACATATATCATGATGTTTTATGCTAACTTCTAGAAATTTATCATGAAGTCAGTTGTAAATAGGCATAAAGTCATAGTTCGACAAAGGTACGTTTTCGCAAACTCACTGATTTCAAAATAAATTCTACTGAAACATTAATTATAATAATTATTTACTGTATAACTGTTTTTTTTACCAGTGAACTTCTTTTTAGGTCTCAAAGACTGTAACAGTTCTATGCAAGAATATCATGTTTCAGGTAAGTTAACATAAGTTCAAGGGTTGATAAGATCAACTCGTTTTTCTGTTAGTTAGATCAAGATGCTATATGACTCATGTTGAAAATGAGGCATAAAAATTGCCTTAACAAAAAAAACTATACAATTAAACCATCACTTTTAGTTTTTCACTGGTGAAAGCAAATAATTTATTGATTGATCAGTTAGTTACTATAGGGAACTAAAATCGTTTTCAAAATCTCATTCCATATAATTTCAGACGTATCTTGTGTATCACAAAAGTATGTATGAGTGAAGTTGAAATATCTGTTTTCAGTAAAGAATAAATCTAATGTTTGGAACACTGAAAAATAATACCAGAGTATACTCAACTAGCACAAAGAAGTGAAAAATCACTAATTGAATTGAAGAAACAGAAAAAAAATAACTACTTGGTCTTAAGGGAATTCAGTTTATTCCCAGTTAATCACACTATTCATAACTAAGAAGTTCATTGGAAAACCAAAAGATTTACCTACTTTTACTTTCGTTTGTTTCTTATCAAACCTTGTTTAGCTTCTGTCATTACAAAACACCAGTTTAAAAATGTAATGAATATATTTTTAAAAGGAGAGAGAAGACTTTGTTTGGCAAACTTTTCGATGTCATGGTAGACATCTTCATCAGTTCATCAGAGCTTCAAGAGGAAGTGAAGTAACTGGTTTTGCATAGATGTTGATAGTCTACTCAAAAACTTATCAGTAATGCTTTCAGAGGGATCAAGTTCACAACGGAAAGCTAACTTTCTTAGATATGTTGGTTCCAAAAAGTCACGATGGACGTCTTAGAACTCAAGTGTAAAGGAAAAACACTTACACAGATTAGATCCCAAGTTGCAATAGCAGCAATCCAATGCCACACAAGAAAATCTGTTTATCAAAGTTACTTAGACGGGCAGACACATTGCCGTACAACAGAGTCAAGGGAAACTGAGAAAAAACGTTTGTTTACAAACATTTAACCCAATGCCTATGAGAAGAATCTCAATGAGAGAGGTCTTTATTTACGTGAAAGATTAGAATCTGCGGCAAAAATAGACAGAAGAATCGTCTCTGCATACATGGAAAATATTACGGAAGTAATAGCTGGATTGTTGCATCTGGTCGTAATTGTAATGTCACATAAACCATCAAAATGGCTACAGAAACTTCCATGCAAACCAGAAGACCCTGACAACAAAGAAGAAATGACCAGTGTTATCTACGAAGTCAAATGAAATAATTACAAATAGCACTACTTGAGAAAGTCAGTATTACAATGTAAACTTGAATACAAGCTAGCCGTCAAAAGCATTCATGTGAAGTTTCCCATCTCACTACACTGTGACAACCATAACCACACATTCGGGTGGGACAACTTCAAAGTACTTAAATGAGCAAACCGGAAAGCAACCCGAGAGTTCGTGTATGCATGGCTCAGGCAAATTAACGATAAATCCCCACGTCGATCGGGATACAATATTTAGTCCTATTAGAGACAAAAATAACAAAAATCAACTGATCTAAATGCAGGGAAACCCTCAATGCAAACAAAAGTGGAATCATCATTCAATTCGATGAAGACAACTCACACAACTCACCAAACTCGTGTACTTAAGCGATAGATACCAAAAGAAATTCCCCTCTCCAGCAGAATTTTAACCAACCAGTAACAGCTAAGAACACATTTGCAGTTGAAGCAAATTAGCCAATCACTGCGAGGCATGTACTTCAGTATATAATAGTCAACTGATGAACTAGGACAACCTACACTTAAGTCGAACAAAATGCCAACCAGTCAGGTGGAGGCGAATTTCGTCAATTCATCCAAGCAAAAAGGGTGAACGACTCACGACAAAGTGACTTCTGTGCACCACAAACAAATAAGAAAAAATAGCTAATCACATAGTTGCACACTTTCCTAAGAAAACTAGAGACAGGAAGTCAGTCAGACAAGTTCAGCATACGTCAATTCACTCTCCAAGTGGCCAACCAAATTACACCTTGGTAAAGTAGCACATTATAAGTATCCATGTAAAACCATTTACTTCCTGATGAAGCTGTGATGCAGTGATGATGGTGTCTAGCATGACTTTGACAAGCTTGCCAAATAAAATAGGACAAACAAATAGGACAACTCACCGTAAACCTCCACACTGAGCTAGAAATATTTGGCATAATTTCTAGTGAATACACTCAAAAAACAAAAAAACCTCAGTGCAAACAGATATCACATAAAAATGCATTATCATATGTTGTTTATGATATTTTATTAAACCAGATGAACTACTTATAATTGCGTTAACTGGGTTATAAGTGCTGATGGTGTTAAATTATTTTTTGGAGGTTGGGTTGTCAAAATAATTCCGAATGTAAACGATGGGTGTGAAAAATCAAGCCATTTAGAGACATTTCGCTAGTGCTTTAACAAATCTTGAAAAAATGATTCCATCTGGACCATATGTAATATAAAGAGTCGAAATTACAAGTTATTACTTACCTCTGGTATTTCAACAATCCCAAAATTCTGAGGTAAAAGGCTATGGTTTGTTATCGACAATCGTGAAGTCACAGTTTCATGAATTTCAGCCCATCCAAAATTGATTGGATTAGGCGAAAGCGATAGATCTGTTGTTGTGATTACAGCATCAATCATGAGTTCTAATTTGTTAGTCTGTCCGATAACATGAACTGTAACCGGCACCTGAAGTACCCCAGTTTGCGGATCATAGGATAACTTTGATAAGGAAACTTTGTTATCGTCCTTGTAGTTTTCATTATTGGTATTAAGTGGTTTGTAGTCATTATCAATCAAAAATAGATCATCAGCCAAGCTAGGTTTTGCCAATAGTTTCACCTGAGCCAACAGTCGACTTTCAGCCTGCAACGTTAAATAATTTCAGTTGGTAAGTTATCTTATGATATCATAAATAACTTTAAATTATGGTTAGAAATAAGCAGGTTGTAAGTATTTATGATCCCTTGGAGTGTGAAATTAATTTCTGAAGAAAGCAAACATTCTTGACTAAGGAATCTAATAAAACCGCTTGCTGGAAGAAAGAACGACTGAAACAAGAACAGTGTACTTATATACGCATTTGTATTATGGGATAACTATTTTCCGTCAACATTAGATAGTCTAAAATACCACTGAGCTTTCCGGGCCTGAATAGCTTAGTGGTAATGTAGCTGACTGCTAACAGTAGTAGACGCAGTTTTGAATATCACAGGGAACGTCACTTCCCTCGAGGTTGAAGATATGCCTTATCAAGAGTTTCAGCAAACATAAAACATAGTTCTAACATGGATTCCTTCTGATTGTCTCCTAATTACCTTTTAGTTTTTTGAGAAGCCCGATTCAACTGTCAGAGTTGCATGTGACATATCTATGTAGAAACTTAGCACATTTGTTCCAAAAGTTATGATATATACTGTTTCGATAACTTGCCTAATTTGCTATCTAGCTGATTAATGGAAAATTCGTGTGGTCAGATATTAATCACGCCATCAAACAGTAAGCCAAAACTTACCTTGTCTGTGGAAGAATAAAAAATTGGTCGTCATACCAACGCTTTATTGAATTAGTTTCCTACTTCTAGAGTCAGATTCGAGCACATGCATGCAGATACAGTCGGACCACTACATCCTCTCAATAGTTTCAACCATCTTTTCATTTGCATTGATAGATTTACTCACAGACGTGTAACTGTTCAAATACACAAAATTTCTGAAGAAACGGTTGCCAAGGTGTTAAAGAATAACTAAAAATCCAACCCTCGTCGTCATTCAGGTATCAACACAATTTTAAAATTGATTGTTTCAGCAGCTCACTGGTACTTCGACCCGACAATAACTTGTCTGTAAAACTTCGGAAGGTTCTGGTTCAGGTCACAGCCTTATTGTTATTGCCCTACATTTCATTCGGGCTCGTTGATCAGGGTAGTTTGTAACAATACTTGTAACGTCATGACCAAACCGAGTTAATATCTACCCATAGATTTATGTTCACATTGGACTTTATTTAAAGCAACTACTGTTGGGCAGATAAGTTCACAAAAGTCTAAACTGTTATTCAATCAAGTATCATATGCACCAATCCTAAAATTTACCGGTCGAATTTGCAACACTTAACATCAGGTAAACCAAGAATAGGCTATTAAGTAAAAAAACCATGATAATGGAAAGAAATTATGTAACCAATCATAAAAACTATTGGATAAAAGGAAAAAGTATTGAAAAAACTAATATGTGCATAAAAAAAGACGTTATTAGTGTAAATGAAGATAACAAATCAAAAAGTTTCTGCTAGTCAAGTGGATTCCAAGTAATACCTACACATTCACAGATTGGTAACCCTCATCATTTATGTCATTGAAAAATATCTCCTAATCAAGTTAAAAAAAATAATGTGTTAAGATCGATAATGTTTGAAAAAACTTAAGATATTCTTACTACCTTAGTTGAGGAGGACTCACGATCATTTCAAGTGATTCATCTTCTCCTGTTGTTATTGCTGATCAAACTGGTCCGCCTATGTTCGCATACGGGTTCCTATGCGGATACTTGGATATCACACGATTACTCATTGCGTTGTAATCTGCTTAGTAGCTAGAAGTGCAATCTATGACGTTTATTTCCTTATATTCGGGACTTATCGAACTGGACGTACCTGCACCCAAGTGAGTGATGTCGTTCCAAATGAGATTCGAATCCATGACCCATCGCTTCAGACACCAAAACGTTATCTGCGAAGCCAGTGAGTTATGAAACCCACCACTTATGCATGGGGTAACAGTTATTATTTATTGTTGCATGGTATATCGCTATTACGTTCTTCATCTACGTAATTGTCGTTTTAATATTTACAAATTTGAAAAACGCGAGTTCCTTAGACTTTTCAACTTTCATTTCATTTTGAAAATGTATTCGATTTTACGCTGTACAACTGCATTTTATAATCATATTACCTCATAAGAACTTATTGAAGAGAATATTCTTCCTTCACATTGTTTTGCACTAATGTCATAGAACTCACTATTTGTTTATAGGTTGTTACCACGAAAAACTAGTTACTGATAGAAGTATGTTAAAGTAGGTTTCAGTATCTTGTCTGTAAAATGAGTGAGTCGATAATTAACCTCTTCAATAAATTTGTGATTTAAACTTATTTCAGAACTATCATTCAGATTTATATAATGATTACTATCTAGTGATCTGGACTGCTTTAAGCAGTACAACAGTGTTGTTAGGTCCTGTGCTCTTGTTGATTGACATCACGTCATTTCCAAAGCTAAAACAGCTTGTCCACCACAGCGTATAGCTTACACACTGGAACGTCCAGAAATATCTTGTTTTGACTTTCTAAGCCTGCTGAGATGATACTAAAGTATATTCTTATAATGACTAAATCAGACTATGCCTAACTTACTTCAGGCAATTCGTAGCAACTGCTGGCCACTGCCCATCATTACTAAATATGATTTGGATGCTTATAATTTCATCGTTTGTCGGTTTAGAAAGCCTACTGTCGGTCATTGGGTCGTAAACTTAAAGTAAGCCCTATCTACTGAAGTTAGAGTGACCAGGAGGTAACACTAGCCCTCATACGACTAGTGTGGATCATTGCAGGTTTCTACTGAGAAAGCTTAGTTTCAATTTATGTAATAAGCTAATATCACAGCTTACTAGCCGTTGATTAGAAAGAAGACGTAGAAAGCATATTTTTATGGAAATAGTCCAGGTTTTCATTATACTACAGCATTACCAGTTAATACATCTCTTCCCTAGGTCGTATTATAAAAATATTGCCATCTACAGAGGTGTCTCATCTCACATTTACTGTTAGTTTGCAAAATGGCATATTGAGAACATTTTTAAAACTGCAGGATTAAGTAATACGTTTTGGAGATATCTTTGAATAAATGAAACAAGATCACAGGAAGCAGTATGATGTAATACATCAAGCAAACAAGTTTTGGTCGTTAAGCGTTTAAGAAGGTCACCTAATTGCTAATTTAGGCCGACCTTTCTTTATATTTAAGGTAAAATTTGTTTCTGACTGGTTTTAAAGTAAAAGTGGATCATTTAGTGCCATATATAAACGTATATGAAATATCTACTAATCAGGATAATGAATTCCAAGATTCTTTTTTTACATCATGTTGACAATACAACAAACACCCTGAGAAACTTGACCAGTAAGGCTTTTTTAAAATCGTTCCATCAGCTAGAAAGTTTCTTAAAACTACAGCCACCTCTAAATTGGGCAGAAGTACAGTAACAGAGCCTGGTGGACAAGATATTATATATGCTCAAAAATTTTTTGGATATTGTCAGACCTACGAATAAATGGTGGCTAATGATTTCACATTTAGATTGTAAAATGAACGTTTATTACGTAACTTCATGGCTTCTTTCAATGTTAGGTAAAGCTTGTCTGGATTCAACGGAAATGAAAATTATAAGTAATAATTATATCTATAATAAATAATATCAAACTTATTGCTATTTGAACATTCTGGAAGTTAGTAGCGAGAAAAAAGTTATATTCTTTTATCTTATATCTTCTAGTTTGCAATATTTACTTGAACAAATCCTGTTTTTGGTAGCACTTTTAGGTGATCTGAAATTTTTTTGTCCACTTCAAAGACAACTTTTACCGCCGATTTTGTTCTGTTATGAATGGAAAAGCATTCTTGATAAAGACGATCATACCAACAGATTCCCATGGATAGACTAGATGTAGACAGCCATACTGGAATATTTTTAGCGTAACCAATAGCCTGAATATAAATATCAGAACTTTCAGAATCATCAAATGTTATGATGAATTTTTCTTCTTCCATTAGGCAGTCACCTTCATTAATAGATACATCTTTAGGGGACCAGATGATATTAAGTTTGACAGTAGAAAATGGAGCGAGAAATCCACATTTTAATTCCCCACACCTGAAGTTACATGCGAATTTGTTCAATTCGCATCGGTTTCCATCGTTTTCATTTGAAGTTTCTCCTTCATATTCTTCTACTGAACAACAAACAATGGATTAAATGTAAATATTAGATCATTAGATATAAAAAACAATACTGTGAGAGCTTAACGGAAGAGTGAGGATAATATAAGGGCTTTATCTAAAAAAATATTGTAACGTAATAAAGTCAGTGTTAAAATTATATCATAATTGTGACTGTATGATTTGATGTGTGCAGGATATTTTTCAAGTGAAATGATATGAATATTGGATTGAAAATAAAAACAGCTATTGACAGTTTAACAGTTCATAGAAAGATGCAGTGAAATGGGTATAAAATGTTTTGGTCTTTTTTTTTTCACGGATAAACTGGTCATTTTATAAAGAATAATTAATGGTTAAATTTTGTTTCCGTTAAAAGCGTGAAACAGGAGAACAGAACCATACGATGAAGGAAGCTATTGACAATGATATGAAGCTTGAAATTGATAAATAAGCACATATTTTTCAAATTAATAAAGATGTGTAATTTACTGGCTGATGACAAAAGTATGTATGAATCAACCTACCTTTAGACAAATTACTTTCAATCGCATTTTCTTGATCAGTCATTTGGGTCTTGGATAAGAGAAAATATGAAGAAACAAACATTTATAAAAACCCTTACGAAAATTTGGATGATACGTGAACTAGTTATCACAGTATAATAAGTTAGTTGTAGAAGCCGTAAGTGCTTGAATTCTGTCTATTAGAGGTTTTATTCTAGCTGTTAAGATAAATGACATAATATGACGATAAATACTTGAATATACGCTTTGTAGAGTCCATTGATAGATAAATCTTGGATTTAATTTCCCTTTCATCTGCGACTATTAAAAATACGCGCTTCAAATCCTAGTACTACTCATGATCGCCTTGTTATATGAATGTGTTATTTAGTGTTAGACATATCCACATCCTTCTGGCTGAGGACATACAACACCTAATTTGTTCATGTTACGATCGTATTATTTTCTAACAGTGATCTATTTTTGGCCTGCCTAAATGAGTTAATACCTTTATCTAATTTTAGTCAACTAAACCAATAGTCTGCATTTAGTGTTGTATTGATAGTTTGCACAAATCAACAGTTATTGAATGATATGAATATTTTGAACGAAAATAATTTGACGAAAAAATTTTAGGGTTTGTATTCACAATGGACTGACGTCAGTTAGAGAAGCATTAGAAATCTCAGAGCACTGGACAGCTTTTTCGTCTTAGTACAAGACTTCTCAGCAGTGTACACCCATGACCATCCTGGGACAGACCTTCAGGTCCCGTGGCCAGTCAGTATACTAACTACTTCTGTATTTTATAATTAATTACGCCCTCAAACAATGACTTCGATTGACATCAATACTCAGATTAGTGCTCTTCAGCTTGATGCAGTGTCAAAGACCATGTGATTATGGATTGAGTTATTAAGTTAGTTGCATTCTTCGGGGAATTTTCCCAAGGTTCTAAAATGGTGGCCTTAAGATCTTGAAGTCTTTTTTGGAACTAGTCGTAATTGTTAACGCCTAGTCAGACTATCAACCAAGTAGCCTCTGATAATCACAGATGCATGTTCAAATAATGTTACTGTGATACTCAAAATCGCTGTAACTTTCTCACTTTCGTGGTGTCCCTTTTTACCAGTTCATAATGTGGGTGAAATAAATTTGCTAAAGTGATTATAACCATTTCTTCGTCAGTTTGAATGAAAGTCATGGTCTGGAACTGTAACAATTATATCTATAAACGGTTAATTAATTTTTTCAGTCATAGACAGTGGTGTGGGAAAATTCCTCCTTCGCTTTCGAATACAATCGTAGTAATGTAATATTTATAGCGTTATAAATTGCTCTAAACGAAATGGAATCTTTTTATTGTTCAGAAGAAAAGTTTTCAATTTCTATGAATGAGATTCGCTAGACTTTCAACAAAGTACTCCTTGAAAATGTTGTTATTTTTGTTGCAGAGATATGAACACATTCAGAGAAGTGAAAAGCTGTACGTAACAGATAAATGTTTAATTTATCCTCAGAAATGAGAAATTTTGCTAGCAAATATTTGAAGCATCTGAAGCATTACTGGGATGAGTTAATAAAGATTTGTCTAGGTATTTCATTCAAGATAAATTTCAAATCCTACACTATGAATTACTAACATTTTTTCTATTTACTATGATTATTCTCATTGTTATTATCAAGCATTTATATTTTCTTACAAAAGTTCTTTAAATACCGTATATATATATATATATATATATATATATATATATATATATATATATATATATATATATATAAACTCATCCCAGTAATTTAACGAAATGGTGGAGAGTACAAAGAAAAATCTGACGCTTCAGATATTTGCTCATTTTTAATAACATGGTGTTTTTGAAAGCTACTTGTCAGTGGTTAGAACATTTAAGTTAGAACTTTCAGGAAGTTCCCCTAAACAGTTCAAGCTGTGAAGCATTTGACACCTATTTTGTTTTTAAAGAGTAGAAAAATGTTATTACTTCCCAGTCCACTATTGATAGAACTGTTTCATTCAAGAACTTGAAAAAACTCAGTTTTATAGTTACACACTTTGACTTCAAGAAAAAAACATTTAAATGAAATATGCATTGTTTGTAAGAAGAACAAGTAACAGCCTGTTTTCAACTATCAAGTTTACCTTGGAGAAGAACATCGAATCCACTACTGCTCTCTTTACAATAATAGAGCGATAAACCTGCCCTAGACCAGTGGGAAACAAACAGTTCACCAGTTTCAAAAACTGCCATCTTTCGTTTCCTTGAGCACTGGGAGGTATATACATTGGTAAATTTTACTGTGGCCAAACTAGTCTACTCTACATAGGTAGATTTATTTTAGGCCACGTTTCAGAATTCACTTTAAAGAATCCCAAGTGTTTTTTCAGTGTAACTTTTCAATGCTTTCGGCTGTGACAGGGATATTATTTTGTTTAAAAAACAATGCTTTTTTTTACTGAATAATATGTTATATGTCTGTTTACTCTACAAATGTAAAACCTTTTTGATTAGCATCCAATGAACCATAGGAAGTGGTATGTTTAATTTATCTTGAGTACATTTTATTGTCGTTTATTGTTTAATATGGAAACTATTTGTAAGAAGTACATAAGAAATACATGTATGACTACCACATGTACTTGAGAACAATGAATTTTCGGCACAATCACACTCATCACTCTCAAGCAAATACTGATTTTCGGTTATTATTTGAATGTAATCTAAAAACAGTCACACACTACTTAATTGTTGTTAGTAGCCTGCAGTAACTCGTTAAAATGTTGTGCGATAAATTAATGAGATAAAATATTAGACAGTATATTTATTTACACATTCATACAAATTAAACTGAAAGTCACGTTGGTGAAAATATTCTTCATTTTAAAACTTAGATTGAAATGTCGAGCGTACTACAGAAATGATGGTGAGATAAGCGATATTTTATGAAATTCTGTGACGGTATTTTGTTATATATGTAGTCATATTTTTGCCAAAATAAATATTTTTTTTGAAACAGAAGCCTACCTTGTTATCTTCCTTCGCTTCCAGTTTTTCTTCCTTTTCTCCTTCTGCAATAACAGTCCCTGGTGATGTTATCAAAACAATTTTACCATCTTCTCTTTCGTAGGTTTCAGATAATGCTTTAAAAGTAAAGTTCGCACCTTTGGCACCAGTGTTTCTTAAGACTATGCTCCGAAAAACAGTTTCACCAATGATAACTTCGCCAAAATCCACCACGTTACAGTCTGTAGAAAACTGACAAAAATACTGGGTACTTTAAACTGTTATATTGCAATATTATATGGGAAAACTACTTATTCCGTTAAAAGGACCATTTACACTCAGTATACTATATTTCAGTTTGGTGGAAAATAGTGCAGTGGACATCTCAAATACATTAAGGATATAATGGTAGGTTCTTTTTAGATATTTCAAGATCAAAAAAAACATTTTCCAGCAAATACGTATTGTCTGATTCGTCCAACGCACATGTTACATACTTCAGACTGTTATCTTCCTCATTATGTGGTCCCAGTTGGAGTATAATTAAATCAGTAAAATTCCAGGATTGGACAGAGTGAGATTGAGAAGTAATGCATGAATTCATGTAATGTTGATATAAATGACCTATGCACGTGCGGTAACTGTGGCTACTCTTAGATTAATTGAGGCTTAATTGTCGACTGTAGGTCAGTCATTTTGATGTGAATAAACTTGATCTAACATTAAAGTGTCATCACCTTTGGAATCTTTAGCTCTTTTCCGTTCCTCATTGGCTATCTTGTACCTGTTAATTTAACTTTAGTGACTTGCTCTTACTTTGATCTAGTGAAGCGTGATTACATAAACTGAAGCCTTCTGTGTAAGGTCTATATTTATTTTCTGACTATCCATTTCACATTCAGCTATTTGAGCAAAAGCTGAGGTGTGTATTAAATGAACCTGAGGTTATCAAACGAATGAAATAGTTTTATGCAAATACTAGATGCAAAAAGACTACTAACTCACTTTTATCTTGAGTTCCATGTTGTTTTTATTCTGATGGTACTACTGTTCTGATTCGCCGTAGAATACCACTTAAAATGTTTTTACTCCTGAATGATCATTTAAGAGTTTAAATGCTAGAAGCAAAACTTTACACGTATATCTTTGCAGATGATATAAGTAATTTAAAAGGTAGGTGGATACACAGCTAAAACACTGGTTAGTTATGTAACGTAAAAAGTGTATTTCAGAACTGAGACAGCGTTAAGCAATAAACGAATCAAAACAGAACACAAACCTAACTAATTGACATGTAAATCTTAGCAACTTTTATGAGTTTACTGGCGTTTAACATACTGATTAGAAGCTGTTATCTATAAAATTAGTATATTTAATCAGTGTGCTACTTAGTAATAACCGTTTTGTGAATAAAATAGAGAGAAGTGGCGGAATACCTTCTTTATATTGGGCATTAAACACTTCAAGTGATTGAGAAGTCAATCGAAACTCAGGAGTACACTGTGGTGTCAAATACACAAAATATTTCTTCATGTCAATTAAGTGAAACACAGTATTATCAGAATGACAGCAAAATTTAAATGCTTAGTAGAAAAGTAATTCTTGTGGTCAGGCACTTACTAATCTATTAGTCATACTAAGTCACTTGTTCTGTGCAGTTTATTTGAGTGGAATAGCATGCCTCCAGAAAAGCTAATATAAACAACAGTACAGAAATGTATACAAATAGATTTTCAGTGGAAATAAATATCCCCATTGGTCCCTGATGTGAACTTCTAAGGTTAGCAGTTATAAACTGCTGCGAAATGCATAAGGTTTTTATTCTGATCATTATATATGTACTTAGAACTAAAATTACTGAGAGTTAACACCAGATCTTAGAACTTGTACTAAATAGAAAAATAAGAGCAGATTGCAACGAAGAAAATTATTTATCTGATGACCCATATTCATAACCATACATTCGTTAAAATATATAAGTAAATGGCATATTGACGAATATACAGCTATGAAAATAAGTCTCCAAAAAGACAGTTATCTTTGCTGTGACCTCCTTTTCTTTTTCTATGATCTTATGGGGATTTTCCAGTGTATAGGATACTTTAGTATAAATTGGTTAGATCACTGAACAGGGAAATGGTGCAGAAAGCATATAATTATTTCAATTAATTCTTTTTTATTTTATCCCTGGTTTATAGTGACACACTTACTTCACACTTTTTCACTGTTGCTTTGAATGGAATGAAAAATGGTCCAGTTGGTGATAAAAATTCCAACTGACCAGTTAAAGTTTTGTTCATCTTCGGTGTGAATTTAATTTTGAGTCCAAAATTCATACCAGGTGAAAGCATACCTGGTGGATTGAACCTAAATAAATACAGATAAGAAATTTTAAAAAATTTGAGATCTGATTCACTTATAATATACTTTTGAAAACTGTGGCTATATTTTGATTAGTCACTGGAAGTAACCAGTTTCATGCTGCTTAGTTCTGCGTGCTGACCGAATTCGATAGGTCACTTTACAGTGTGGTTACCAAGGTAGGAAACTTACTGTCGCAGTGTACATGTATATGTATAGGAAACCGATGTCTAGCGGGAAGTATAAACACTTTCAAAGTTTCGTGCTAATAAAGTAAAAAGGCAATATAATCAGTCTTTAACTTTCATTCCACTTTGAAAATGTATTCGCCTCATATTTGACTCGTTTTTATGCTATACAACTGCATTTTATAATCGTAGAATCTAATGGGAACTTATTGAAGGGAATATTCTTCGTTCAGATTGTTTTTTATGAATTACTTTTAAGACAGTAATCTATCTAGTTTGGTTCACTGCGTGATATAAATGAGAAATAAAATTTGCTCTGACTGGCATCGAGTATATGTAAATATGTGTAACTGTTATTAGACTGACTGTTTATAGTTAGTTCTATTGAAGTAAAACGTAGAACATCAACTTACTTCACTTCTACGAAATCCATTAAAGTAGATGTGATTCCAATGTATCGACAAGTACTAACTGCGTATGAAGCATTTGTCAGTGTAATTTTCATTTTATGAGTCTTATCTACTTCAATATTCTAAAATAATTATTCAGAAAAAAAGTTTCTTGTTCATAGAGTATTGTTCCACACTGGTAATCAAAAATGATCGATTATTTTCCAACAAACATAAAACACTGATAGACAGGCAAACGTTCATCTCACTAAAGTAGTTTAATCATGCAGTTCATTAAGGCGGCTTTAGTACTTTATAATTCCAATTATTTCATACTTTGGAAAGTTAAAAATAGAAAATTTAAGTCTATATTTATCCATAAGATGGATTCGACTGTAGAGTAATGATTTGAAATGCTTAGTGCCAGCATCCTTTGGAGCTTTATGAAAGAATCTTCCCACCTATGGAAAATCCAGCTTTGATATACGGAAGTAATCATATTACAAGCTAAATCTTGTAGACTGTTATGTTTTTTTGAGTACAACTAATTCGAGTTATCAGAACATATGGAATGGTCAATTTCTAATCTTTCTACAAGATTTAAATCATACTGAAGGTAATACACAGTTGACAGAGATATCCGTGGTTATATAGCACAAATAAGTGTTATTTGGTATGCTCATATAATTAATGTGAGTATTTTGGAGGTTAATCATGACTCTATCACATATTGTGTGACAAATGTAAGTTATCTGGAGGCAACTGACAGGAAGCCATGCTCAACCCATATTTTGTGCTTTTGAGGACTCATGAAAGAGGAATATCTGTAACCTCGATGGAACTGATGTCCTCCCTGAGATTCGGTCCCTCATCTTGGACTATTACACTCAATGACGTTAACACTAAGCTATTCGGGTAGCTATCAATTTCCTGTAAAATTAAACTAGATAAATTGGTAACAATTAAAATACGGCAGTTGCAGTAGTTATAGTTCATTTCAGTAGTGCATGAAGTTAAATATTATGCAAAGAGCAAGTTTTGAGTAAGATTACAACGTAAAAGAAGAGTTTGATGACTTATTAGTAGATTTTTAAAGCAGTTAATTAAAGAATGGTTATATTTGAAGATAATTTTTATTCACTTTGAATCAACTATTATTTATGTTTGAGAAGTTTTATTTCATTTGTTTTCAGGTAACGCATGGTGTTAATTATCCCATATTTGATATGAACTTTTTTTGCACTTTGAAGAATACCATTTGATTTGAAGATTTTTTATAAGGATTTATTGATTTTATGTTGGTATTCATTATGGACTAACATTATTTGGAGAAACATTATAAACCTGGGAAGACTAGACAGCTGTTTCATGCTAATATGGGATTCCTCAGCAGTGCGCACCCATGATGCTGCCAGGAGTCATGAAGTGACAGAAGTAAGTAAAAATGGACTGTTGAATTTCGAAACAGTGGTTCAATGGTAACGTGCTTGGCACGAAACCTAGGGGTCATGGGTTTGGTTCATGGCGGGTGGGGTCATGGGTGCGCACTTCTAGAGAATCCCATACTTGGACGAAACAGCTGTCCAGTGATCTCAGGTTTATAACATTCCTCCAACTGACGTCAGTCCATGAGAAATACCAACCTAACATTATTTGAATGAGCGCATAGTAGAAGAGAAAGTAAGTATTTTTACATGACATAGACATTCCCATTTTTTTCTTCTTATTGATTTCATTACATGAATACCAAAAAATAACTTTCTCATAGGATAGCATGTACTTGACTTATTTGGTTTGAAGAAAGGAAGTCGATGATAATCTATCAGCTCATTTCAAAACGGAAATCTATACAGTATCGATTTCGAAATTATTTTCCCAATCACTATACTGTGGCTTTAACGTGTTCCTTTCAGTTTTCTTGAAAAATAGACAATAGACAATTCTTAAAACCTATATCATCCTCAAACACAATAAACAGGTTCCGAGTTCAAAAATATTATTTTGCTAAAATGACAAACTTCAAACCAAATTTCCGCTGGCTTGGCTGTGAAACTAGGTCCATCAAATTTTCTTCCAGTTACTATTTGAGGTTGTACAATATTTTCACGAGTTTGCTGCAGAATACGCTGCAAAATTTCCTAAAAATCAATTAGTATAAACAAAATTGGAAAATTTTAGAGATAAATGCTGAAATTTAAAGATAAGAAATAAACTTCTGTAGCCAAATGCAGGTTCGTGAACTAGATAAAAAAAACACGGATGGAATGAAATTTGAAGATACTATCTGAATACCTGAACCTTAGTGGTTAACTAGTTCACTAGTTACTAGTCGGTCCTAGGCCCGGGTAAAGAGGGAAGGTTGGGCGTAGGGCTAGCAACATTACCCCAGAAACCCAATCCAACCGCTTAAGAAACTTCAAAGCACAAACAAAATATAAAAAATAAAGACAAAATTATTCCTCGCTGGAATTGGAGAAGCGAAATGACGCCGGTTGGTGAAAGCCATCAGGAAACAAATTAGTCAATGTTTTTTCTCTCGATGAAAGCAAAAGTAAGAATGGCGACTTGAAATGTACGCACTATGATTGAACTTAGCAAGGTTGTCCAGACTGCGAAGGAGATGAGAAGATGTAGCATAGAAGTGCTAGGCTGCGAAAGCAGGTGAAATGGAAGTGGACTCTCCAAACTGTTAACTGGAAAGTCAATAATCTACTCCGATATTGATACCACGACGACAACCATCAGCACACTGAGGGAGTGGCTATCATGATGTCCACAACAGCATCGAAGGCTCCCATACAGTGGAAACCAATCTCTTCCAGGATCATGACACCAAGGTTCAACTCAAAAGGAAGGAAAGTCACAATCATTCAATGCTACACTATGCACCTACAAATAATGCAGATGAAGAGAAGAAGGAGGAATTCCGCAGACAACTTCAATCAGTACTGGACAAGACGTCAGTTGAAGACATCAAAATTCTAATGGGTGATATGAATGCCAAACTGGGAGAGGAAAACACAGGAAGAGAACTAACCATGGGTTGAGAAGTACTCGGTGAAATTAACAAGAATGGAGAATTGTTTGCAGAATTTTGCACATTCAACGATTATTGCAGGCAGTGTGTACAAGCACAAGGATATCCACAAAGCGACATGGATTTCATCAGATGGACACACTAAAAATCAGATCGACTTTATCTCGATGTGAAGAAAGTGGAGACACAGCCTAATGGACACTAGGTCAAGAAGAGGAGCAGATGTAGGTTCAGACCACTATCTAGTCGAAGAAATCCACCTTCCAAATCAAGTTGAAAGCCTTCAAGGAAGTTGGTGATAGACCACAGTTCAAGTTCAATACCGAAAACAGAAACTGAAGGACGAAACTGCCAGAAAACATCTTCACGGCAGCCATCAAGACAAAATGGGAAATATCGAGCATTATCCCTGAAGAAACCTGCGTGAAAGAACACTGGAAGCCTTTGAAAGAGATGTGGAAAGAAACCTGCATAACTGTATTAGGAAGTAAGAAGGAAGAAGATAAGGAATAGATCTCGATGGACATATGGAAGCTGATAGAGGAGAGGAGGATGGTGAAGCAGAAGATAAACCAGTGCAAGGATGAACAACGAAAAGAGGAATTGAACACAATCTATAAAGCACTAAACTGGACAAAGAAGTGAAGAAGAGTGTGCACAAAGACAGAAGACACTTCTATGAAACACTGACAAGTGAAGCAGAACAGGCTGCAGGTAAGGGAGACAGAGACCTGACCATACTGTATCAAATAACCTGGTTACTATGTGCGAGGGGAGAGATCAACACACAAGAAACCAGTAAAAGATGATGAAGGAAATCTAATCACGAAAGAAGAGAGACAAAGGAAACGATGGGCTGACCACTTCGAAAAGCTCTTGAATCGAACACCACATGCACTTCGTCCACAAATACCACCTTCAGTCGCTGAACTACAAGTGAACATAAATCCTCCAACAAAAGTGGAAGTCCTGAATGCCATAAAGCTACTGAAATGTGGGAAAGCAGCAGGACCAGATGGAATCTCGCCAGAAGCACTGAGAACAGATGCAGAGACAACAGCGGACATGCTCACACCACACCACTAGTTCAGAAGGTGTGGAAGGAAGGGAAGGTACCTGGCGATTAGAAGAAGGGTTACCTTGTCAAACTGCCGAAGGGCGACCTCACTGTTTGCAAGAACTGGCTCGGAATCACGCTCCTGTCCACCCGAAGCGGAATATTATGCCGCATCATCCTGGAGAGACTAAAGGATGTGCTGGATTCAGCATTACGACCCGAACAGGTTGGCTGGCTTCAGGAAGAACAAATCATATGGGGATCAAATTGCAACGCTTCACATAATCATAGAACAGAGTACAGAATGGCGGTCAACTCTCTACCTCACCGCAACTTCATCGGCTTTGAAAAAGTCTTCGACCGCATCGACTGAGAAGTAGTTTGGAAACTGCTTCAACACTACGGAATACCACAAACCTTTATCAACCTCATTCAACAACTATGTGAAGACGCCACATGTCAGCCAAGTAATTCACAATGGGAAGCTCAGCTCAGTGATGCTTTTGAAGTGAAGACAGACAGGAGTGAAACAAGGTTGCCTACTATCACCCATGATATTCCTGATTGTGGTCGACTGGATCATGCAGCAAACAGTGAGGAGCGAGAAGAGGGGGATACGCTGGACCGGGTAAAACAGCCTAGAAGATTTGGAGTTCGCCGATGACTTGTGTCTAATGTCTTGTCGCACAAACTTGAAGATCTACAGGCGAAAACTAACAAGTTAGCAGAAGAGGCGAGGCAGGGCAGAGAAGACGGAACTTCAAGTGAATATAGAGAAGACAGAGGTGATGAAGATACCGCACCACCAACAACAACAAACTCCAATCACGATCAACGGGAGAAACTTAAAGGAAGTAACCTCCTTCATCTATCCAGGAAGCACTGTTTCAACTACAGGTGGCGGGACAGACGAGAATGTCAAAGTCCGGATCGGAAGAGCAAGAGAGATGTTCATTAACCTGAAACCAGTGTGGAGATCTACTACACTGCACTCAGCATGTGGAACAAGATCCGGATTTTCAACACCAACGTCAAGTCAGTGCTTCTATGTGATGGTTCAGAGACTTGGCACGTTACGAAGGGGATTTCCAACAGATTACAGACATTCATCATTAACTGCCTACAGTCGTTACTGAAGCTCAGATGAAGTGCTAGAAAGAAAAAGCAACAAGGAGCTCTGGGAACGAACCAACCAAGAACCTATCACCCAAAAAATATGCGGAAGGGGAAAGTGGAGATGGATTGGGCATACGCTGAGAAGGCCGACTGGGGACATTACACGCCAGGCCAGGTAGTCGAGTGAAACCCAGGTGGGAAGCGACGAGTTAGGCGTCAGTGCCGAGGGTGACATGGCGGAGATCGTGTGAGGAAGAAATGAGAGCTTCTGGGCTTTCGTGGAGCTAGGTTCAAAAGTTTGCAGAAAAAAGAGTGTACTGGAGACGTGCTACTGAAGCCCTATGTTTCACTAGGAACCCAAGGGACAAACAATAATAATATTAGTGGTTGTTTTGAATAGACATCAAGCCAGGTGTCAGATTTTAACAATACATATCAATTTAGATTTTTGATAATAATAATACTTACAGGAATACAGCACCACAAATTTTTTTAAATAATTTTAAATACTTCTAAACTTTGATAGTGTCGCTCACTGAAAGGCAGGTAAATCCAGTAGACGAGTCCCAAATAGGACGAAATGCATGTCCTGGGTTCTACTGTTAGCCACTATCCATCGATAATACTCTTAGACTTTTCCTGATTAAGTTACCAAACCTCTAGCAGTTTGACAAAAACACTTGGTAAGACAAAATAACAAAAAATCGGTACCCATCTCCCTTGAGGGAGAAAAATAGTCAGCATGTTTCTGTCTAAAATACATGAAATCATATGTTGCTTTGAGTTAAACCTTGTATTTATGATACACCTGCAAATAATTTCAACTATCATGGATAATTTCCTTTTTTCATTACTCTTTCAGCTCCTTAGAATCATTATCCTTAGAAATCATTATTCTGAAATCCATTGGGGTATCATTTCGGTGAAACTACTCAAGCACTCTAAGTCACTGTACCTTTTATAAGTGTCTGCTACTTAAGTGAATTGAAGTGACAGCTGTTAATCGATGCTCTAGTTTGCGCGTTTATAATTTACTTTATTTCTACTGAAGTATCTTTAAGTTTGTGTAATGAAGATATTGTCTTCGATTTCACTATTTTCGTTTGTATGCGATTAGGAGTAAGTTTTCTTAACTTTTTGAAGCTAAGACGACAACGATAACTAAAGTGATGACGGAAAGTTAGTGAACGAATACTTAAGTGTAGATCTATCAGAAAATAGCGTATTTATTTCGATGGGTTTGACAACGACTGTAGTTCTACACAACTTGAGTATATTGCAATATCGACTGGAAAAGTGAAGAACGATCACCGGTGGATGTCATAGTCCTCGCTTGTCATGACTGAAACTTTCGAAATTTCAGATGGTTTTGTGGAGCATAATAACTGAATATGTTGCTTCTTTGAGTAGGTTGAAGGTTATTAACTAAAGTAACTCGACTTCTTAGGAACATGATGTGATTTCGACAACGCAGCTATTCAACGCAAATACAGGTAAACTACTTAACAATGGATTTTCATTTTATTTCACGAGAATCAGGGATATTTGAATTTAATCTTTGTAGCAAGAATTGCTGAAATTTCTAGAGTGAGTTTAAGACTTATTCCTTGATAAGAATCGCAAAACTAGGTGAAGTCGAGCGATGAAAATATGATAAAGAAGTTGTTCCAGAGCCACAAATCTAAAGCCATTGATTAGAGTTATGTCCAGGATTCAGAAACGATATAGACAAAAGAATGATTTAGAGGTAAATTAAACTTCGAATTCAAAGGTACCCACTTACTTTATCTGCTTTCGAGCTTCTTTCTGAACAATAGATTGTGCTGTTAAGTAGCCCCATTTCATCGCTATCTACTGCGGTAACAACATCTGTTAGTTTTGTGGATGATCTGCTGGGTAGCTTCTGTAAAGGACGAGATACGGAAATCGCCTCTTTTTTGTCGACTGCCGATTTTAGTGTATCCCTGATAGCTGCATGTAAACAGACAGGAAGAAGATCAGAAACACTTTAAAACCAAATTAATTTGATTGAATGTGCAAGTTTAATATGTTTATTCACAAACAAAAGCTTTCTCATGTTCCAATATATAAATTTTATGGTTCAAAGACACTTTACTCCAAATATAGACTTTTGGCATGTGAACAAGCCTAAAGTGCGCATAACCATGGGGATGATTTGTGACACCCCAATCTATCCATTCACTGTCAGATTTGAATGTTGTGGAAATGTACTCAGCAACTTTTTGCACAATCATACATTAGGCAATGGTCCAAAAGTATTGTGTAAGGGTTAATAGTGCTACCTGGCTGTCCAAACCTTAGTAAATGGAGCTAGGTTCTAACCTATGATCCGTTGGTTCAAAGTCACCTCCCCAAACCAATAAGCCATAACTCTTCATTTGAATGTCATAGCATTAATTAGTACTAAACAGGAACAACAGCATGGGTGTTATTTTTACACTTATTTAACAGGAGGTGCATTATAGCGAGTTGAAAATGCCTAAGTTCTCGCTTAAATATCTGCATCTCATGAAGTGTTTGATTCACACTACCTGTGAATATTGGTTTGTCTAAAAGGATTAGTATTCTTATGCTTTAAGAAATGTAGGATTAACCTTCAATTACTATCATATTTACAGAATAAAAACAAAGTTTTTGTGAATACAACTGAGGAAGTCGAATGTAACTTGGAGCCAATAATTTTCGCATGTAAATATCACGGGAATAAAATCTTGGAATAACTTAGTAAGAGAATTTGAATACTTTAAAAGACATGATGTGTACATTTTAGGATTATATATATATATATATATATATATATATATATATATATATATATATATATATAATATGCGGTTTTGTACAATGCTTCAAAAGTTATTATGACATCAGACAAAGAAGTATTTCCGTGAATTTCAAAAACGGCTTGATAATAGGTGCTGTTAAAAAGATGAATCAGATGTGCGTCAAACAAACATTTTCCATATTAGATTGTTTATTCGATATACCACATTGACACCGTATAATTTACTTGATAATGTTTCAAGCAGAATTTATTGTTGATTTTCATATCAGAGTAATCAAATGACTTTCAAACTTCCGATACACTGTCCAGTAGTTCTTCATTTGTTTATTTTAATGTAACATTTTCCATATATCTACAAAATGTGATGAGTCATTTCTCTTACATGTGTGTTAGGCATTGATACAATGAACAAAGATTCTGTTATCAATCTCCCTCCACCTACCTAGATTTGATTATGGAATTGTCACCCTATCCCACCTTACAGTGTGATTACGGGTCAGTGGATGGAGGAAAAACTCACCAGTAGCTCAACATCCTGACTTAAAAGGCCACTCTAGCAACAAGTGAGATAAGCAATTACGCTCCTCTATTTTATGGAAATCCGCCTTTCCAGTAGAAGTACAGACACCTTATTGATTATTTTGGTTGTTGCTAGGATGGCCTTTAAGTTATTTCAGAAACTTTGTTCATTGAGTCACCATCTAAAGCATGTAACGGGAATGATTCATCACATTTTGCAGATATACAGAAAAGTTTACTACCATTAAAATAAGGAATGAAGTGTTGGAAAATAGAAAGAAAGTGATTTTCCTTGTATTACATAAAGAACGTTTGAAAGTCGTATGATTACTCTGATATGAAAATGAGCAATAAATTCTGCTTGAAACGCTTTCAGGTAAATTACACAGTGTCACTGTGTGGTATATCGAATAAATAATCTAATATGGAATTATACTCTACCACAGTGCCCACGTTTTCCCCTTACATTAAACATACACTTTGTCGGAGATTTTACAGTTGACCAATGTAACAGTCATCATCTCACAAGGTGTGCTAAGACTTTCATATAAAAGCGAACCACTATTTCCTGAAAAAAAAAGAATTGCTGTTAAGTGCTGCAGAAAAGTCTACCTGATAGGTTTTATGGACAACAAAAATTTACATAAAACTTGTACGGAAGTGAAGTATTGAAGACCTGTTAAAACTTTTATGAGTATACGATATAAAACGCTGTCAGAATACTACATTAGGAAGGTTTACGGATTTTGACATCTCAAAATAAGGCAGAAATTGGGTTGTAGTTAGTTGGTTGATCGACTTCGTTTGAAGAAAGATTTGAACCTACAGTTTTAGCTAAGCCATAACCGGTGGTAAATTAGATCTTTACGATATAGGTAAGATTAAGAAGTAATTTAGTGAGTAGACTGAAAGAAATTTACAGCTTACCGAAATTAGAAACTGCTTGATCTACATTCTCCTCTGTAACAATATTCTGAGACTTTTTAGACAAATTCCATAAACCAGACAGTGAATCATGCGATGTCACCAAATGTTTCTCATTTTCCCTGTCCTTATCATCATTATGATCATGATCATCATCATCAGCGTCATCTAATTCATCTCCTATTGGGAATTTTTTTACTACTGCCTGTGAATAAGAGAAGAAAATATTATAATTCAAAAGTGCTAGAAATAATTTCCATGACTCCATGATAAATGAACAAACAACTTTTGATAATTTAGATACTTTAATCATTGAGCATACTTAATATCTAATAATTTAAATGGCAATGCATAAATCAATTAGAAAATGAAAATTTCTTTGCAAAACACAAAGACATTCAGATGATGCATTGCAAAGAAACATGATTAAACTAATCACCTGAACCTGATACTGTAATGGTTACACTGTTGCTGCTCCACGGAATGGTAATGTTGAGATTCTTGGAGAATAAGATGACTATCATTGTCATCTTTGAGGGTTCGATTATCTATAACTACTACTTCACACATCAAATTATTCCTTTATCTTTGGTAAAATAAGTAGATTTGCAGCTGTGTCATACTTCAGACTCTTTTGGTTACATTTCAACAAACGATTGTCTTGAAAAAAGATTACTAATTAGTAGAGAGTGAGAAGACGTTTTTCTTGAGATTGATAAGAATAATTTTGATATAATTCGTAATGTGGTTTTGCTCAAAAAAATTTAAAATCCTAGAGATAATGAATAAGTTCGTGCGAATAAGTAAATTTACTCAGTACAAAAAAAATGCATGTAAATACTTTTAATTACTTGTAGGGGATTTATGAAAAATTTGAATGTCTGTTGAAGTTATGTCTACCCCATATTGTTACCAATATTCATGCTTAGCCATAATGGGATATTTTTGTCAACGTTTGTGAAGCGAAAGTATTATATATTAGTCAGATGGAGGCAATCAACTGAAGCTATGCTTTACTTAGGTCTGGTGCTTCTTGGCAGTCATCAGCAAGGCATATCTGCTGCCTCGAGGGAATTAATGTCCCATCTAAGGGTTTGAACCAGTGTCACGTAGTGCTGCAGTTGGAGACGCTAACACTCAGTTTTGGAGCCATAAAATTATTAAGCTCTTATATGCTCCAGGTAACTTTTGAAAAAAACAGGTTTCAATCATAACAGGCATCAGAATCCTAAAGCAGAACGGTTTCAAAATATCAAATGATTTTAGAAAGAAAAAATAAACAAAGATGATACAAAATGTTAGAAAACTATATATATATATATATATATATATATATATATATATATATATATATATATATATATATATATATATATATATGATACGAGCCGATTAGCTCAAAAGTAACGTCTGTAACTGAACCACTGGCTGATGTGGGTTCGAATCTCAGGAGGGATATCCGTTGCTCTTAGGCAGCAGATAAACTTTGCTGATGAGTCTCAGGAAGCACAAAATCTAGATCCAGGGTTTCCTGCCCATTGTCTCCACCCAACTAACATATATGCATACTGTGTTCACTGTTATTACTCGTTTTTTTTTGTTTAGTTTAATTTGAATGGATTGTGTTAGTACTTTTTGTTCTCATGCTTTGACTATGAAGAGTGAATGGATTTAATTTTTAATAATACACAAATTTACAATCAACATAAATACATTCAAAAAACATATTTGTGCTTTGTAGAAGGATAAGTTTTGGGAACATAATAGAGCATTGTTCAATGCTAAAGGTATTCTTTCCCACAGAATGGTCAGAAAGGTAACAAGGAATGTAAATGTCAAGAACAATAAGGTAAGAATAACATATCTTGATGAATTATTGCAGTCGAAACTTAAATAGGCAAATGGATTTGATTAAAAATCATTTCTGATTGCACAAAAGAAGCCTACATTTTCGTCTGTTGATGGCTACGGTAAAATCATATATTCATATTGGAAAACTTTTGTAGAACGTTTCGAAGATGATTCCCACGCATCTGGTTTTTAGTTTATTTTAGAGTAGATGGAGAACAGTGTCTATCAGCAAAGTATATCTGGGTGTAAAAACAAATCTATCTCTTAAGATATTTAGGCAGTTACTCTATCAGTTCAAACTACTACATATTTTAACTACTCTTCTAACAGGTTCCGGGACACAGGCATACTTACCGGAAGCGTTTGACTCCGTCGACCATGAGGTGTTGTAGCAATGTTTTACTGTGAAGGGAGTGGTGAAAGTCTACAACGCCTATCACAGCTCTCTATTCGAGCTCATACAGCCATTTCAGGGCTTATACAGAGTTGTCATGTGAATTGATGACAGCTAGTGGTGCCCCCCAAGGATTCCCACAGTCACCGCTTCCATTTAACTTCGTCACAGATATACTAATAGACATAACCTTAGATAAGTCCGACTTCTAAGGGATTGATCTACTCCCTGAAGGTTGGCCTGGTGTAAGTAGATGATATTCTTCTGGTGAGTGAAGATGCTGACAAGATGCAGTGCCTTGTGAACGTGTTGAGCAAAAATCTGTGCATGTTTGGTTTGCGTTTCACATCTGTCACATGTAAGATGATGATGCAGGACTGGTCCGCAGCTACCCGAAGTTTAATGATAGGGAGTAGAGTGGTGGAACTTATTTACCATTTTACTTACTAGATGAGCTGAATCAGCCTGAATGAGTTGGTTGTTGACCAAATCTCAACTCGGTTAGAGAAGGCCTGCTTGGCGTTCGCCAACTTTCATCACCTGTGGCAAGATATCCAACTGCCTATCAAAGGACGAGTATAGTGCTCTGGAGTCCTTTCTGTTCTGTTATACTAGTGTGAAACATGGCCTTTAAGAGTAAAAGACATGGAGCGGCTACGGGGTTTCGACCACCAGTGTCTTTGTAGCACTGCTCGCGTTTGGTGGAATCACCGTGTGAGCAGTGTTAAGGTCAGCCGAAGGGTACTAGATAAGACAGGGAAGTCGATTGATGAGGTTGTGAACCTTAGTTAACTGCGGTGGCTCGGATATGTACTGCGGATGTCGAACTACGTTTGATGTTAGGAACAGTTGGATTATATTGAAAGGGGGTCCAGGGTTGCCAGATAAGGAGGCCACCAGTCCATGGAATCTCTAACTTTGATATGAGTTGTTTGGGGAGATTTAGACTACCTGGCAAGGGTCCTCGAGACAAAAGGTATCAGTTAGTGGTTGAGAACTGACCCCTGGTGACATGGCTGAATATCACTCACAATGGCGCGGATGTGTTCACTCCTTGACATGCTCTAGGTCTTGAATATTGGCACTAACCTTTGTGTTGAAATTTTTTACTCTCTTGCACTACTCTATCTTCTTTGAGATCACTCTCTTTCTATTCATCTGTTCTTTGTGTGCTGCAGTGATGTATGGCAACTTGAACTGATGCACCTGTGTGAGGTTCTACGTTGATTTTGTCAGTTGTGAGTCAGAATGCATCACGATAAAAGTCCTCACTCGCATCATTAGTTCGTGTTGAAGTATGAACGTTTTTCCTTCAACCTAATTAAGTTCACTTTCATCGTAAACTTTTTATCATCTACATCTAGTTTTTGTTTAAATGAAGGAATGACTGTTTCGACTTCCAGGTCTTACTTCCTTGTAGAAAATTTTCTGGAAAGTCAACGTAAATTAACCAAAAAATAAGTACATTTTGCAGTAAAGGAGAACAAGTTGAGTTTGCCGGATTTCACTAAGGCAAAGAAAAGGAAGTGAATGGAAAAAGAACAAGAGATGAAGTAGATAAAGCTTCATTGAAACTGGGTACTGCCTTATAAACCATAAAATTTATAACTCACATTCATCTTTTCAGTCTTCCTCTGCCCAGTCAGAAGTTCATCAATCATGTTCTGTTCAAGTTCAGATGGCTGTTCATTACAATATATGTGCTAAATTGTTTTAGTAAAGAAAAATATAGTTTACATAGTTTACAAAATATTGAGACTTGAATACCTTAGAGAGTTTATATCGTTCACTTTGTTCACAAAGAAATGGTAATCTTTTCATTTTCTCACTTTGCAACAAATCTTCACGTAACAGTTTAGCTATTATTTCTTTATACTTTGTATTTTGTGACTCTTTAAATGCTCTAAAAGTTGTGGAATTAAAATACAAATATAATTTTAATTAGACTGTAATAATGGGAGATATTTAAATAAAATAATCAAATCAAAAGTAACGCTTATGGGCAATTAATAGATGATGAGCCATTCTTGGTGGTTCATGGAGAGTTCGCTGACTTCAAGATTGTTTTCATCACGGACTAATTTTACCAGTATAATCTTATACAAACAGAACAAAATGAATGGTTATTTCATTTCATTTTGGAACTCTTGAGATTGCATACGTGTTTTATAAAGGCTAACAGCTTATGGCACAACTTAGTGTGTAGTTTTGGGTGTGCAGTGCTGTGGAGTCACAATCTAAGACAAAGATGTTGAGATATGACCTCTCACACTGATGTAAAAACATCAGTTACTGAATATAGTTGATGTGTCAACTAAGTAATTTATTCTTTGTAAACTTCTATGATGATATTCAGAAAAACACTGATCTGTACTGAAACAAAGAATTCTTAACCCATTACGGTTATTAAACTCCGAATATGCGTTTGTTTGCCAAAATGATAATAAAATCATCTTACCTGAATCAATTGACTCCTACTATAGGAATCATATGTCAATTAAAGTGATCTCGGATTGCCTGTGCACAAGTTTTGAGTGGAATAATTTACGTAACGAAATGACCAGTAGCATACTTTTGGATGGATTTGATTCCTTGGATGTTGAAATTCTTGTGTATGGATATTTTAATCATGAAATATGGCTTCTTTATATGTAAATGTTAGTAGCTGATTAGTCTATATCATTTATGTTTTATGTGAGATGAATGTAGAATGCCTGAAGCTTGTTACTTCTTTTATTTTATGTTTCATACTCTGAATTTTTATCACATCAAGTGTTTTTACAATATAATGATGAAGCCTTAGAAAATCAACCTTCTTTAAATATTTTAGCTACTTTTATTTTTTGAAACCTATTTACACGTTGAATGATCAAATTAGGAGGTAGGAAATATTGGGCATATAATATTTAAAATGTCACGAATGGTCTTCATAAGTAGTTCGGCTTTCACCTTACAAATCAAATTCAGTATTACCAATGGATATTTATACTTTTATGGGTAGCAATTCTTAGCCTATTTCTAAAAATAGGATTAAAATGGCTCTTGACTTAATTACATAGATGCTAATCAAAGATAAAATATACCACGAAAACCACGCATACACTTCTATAAATATAATTAATCACTACTTACGCTTGATGAGCTTCAATTTTAGCTAGTCGACGGTGTAATGCTAATTCAAGCTTTTCATCTTTTTGATTTTGTTGTGCTTGAAGAGACAACGCCTTCTCCTCCAATAACATAGACTTTTTATTTGCCTTTTGCTTAGCTTGTACAATAGCCATGATGATCTAAAATAGTCAGAAATATAATACGTTAATAAAATGTTTTCATGATCTTTCTTTATTTTTTTGTTTTTCAATACTTCAATTACTGATTTGAGTATTAGTGCGAACTGAAAAACTAACGTGTTATGTCGGTTTTTGAGCTTTCCAACTGAAATCGTGCTGGATAATTTTCAAACTCTCAGCTATTTTCCTAGTACATTCGTGCATTTGTTTTCTTCTTATCGATTTATATTCAAGTATAAGGTAGATGATAAATTCTAAAGCTACAGTGAATTTACGTATCACTCGGGTTTGTATTTATGATGCGAGTATATTTATTTTCGAAGTAAAAAGGCCACGATTATATGTATAGCCTGGAATAATAGTAGCTTAAGTGAGCAACTTCTATGCCATTATTATGCATAGTTAGCACTCAGAAGCTGCAGCGATAGATGTATTTCCAGTACAGCTTTCAATATAAATGACTTCAAAAGAGTATTTACTTCAAGCTATGTACCATGTATTATGTCTAAATAAACCTATGGATAATATTTTCGAATATTTTCTTGATAAGTTCAAGCTCAAAATTCATCACTGCGGTCTTTGTTCATCGGGATTGTGAAGGTGGGAGTTAATGAATTATTGTATTTTGTGAAGCGAATACGTTTAATAAATTGAATGAGTGACGAATAAGCATAAACACTTAGGCCAAATCGATAAAAGTGAAATGATGAAAACAAACTTAATTGAGTAGGAGAATCAAGAATATATGTGAATCTGACAGATTCAAGCCTTAAGTGATTTTACATCCTTCTGTGTGAACCAGGGTTTGTTTATCAATGCATAGACAGCTAAATAATCATAATGAAATCATTGAATAAACTTACTATTTAAGAGATGTTACTGTAGAGTAGTGACCATGCAATAACTTACTCTTTTCTGGAAACTAGGTTCATTTCAAGTCTGACTTGATAAAAGGAAACTTTTGGTTTCTTGTTTAAAATATGAATTATTCGTTGAAGCTTATAGCCGTTATGATGCAGAAGTAAACGTAAAACAGATAATAGTCTTCAGCTAGAATGCATTTCGAAATCAGGTGTCTTATGGGAAAACTTATTAACTACTGGTTATTTGGAAGTTTATTTTATGTTTACTTAGCCAAGGGGTTTAAACTGCTGCCCACCAAAGAAAATGTCTGATGAGAAGTCCTCAACCCCATGAGTCACAGGGCGGTCGGAATTAAAGTAGTCGACAAAACAAAAAGCTTTTTAGCAGAAACCGCTCTGACTTTCTGAAGGCGGTCAAATACCTTGCCACACCTAGTGACGCATGTACTTTGAACTGCCGGCCAACTGTCTAGCTGACACTGCACATTTAATCATCTTCAGTTGAAACGAAAGCTTGTCGATGGCTCTGACAGCTATAGTCACCGCTCAAACCCTTGATTGATGACGGACATATAAACCGTATTTACGACTCAGGTGTTTACGAGATAAGGGGGTCTATTTGTACGATAGTGGACCTTCTCATGGTTCCAGCTGATAAGCAGATATCAACATGAGAACCAACTCATCATATTTTCATCCAATTCTGTTTCGAAGTGAAGAAGTCTATTAAGCTCAAGTAATGATGAAGCTAGATGAATGTTCACTGGCCTAGTGGGGTACCTAACCTGTAAAGTCAGGGCGCATCTTACGGTGATATACTGTTTGACATGTCATGGGTTATAGGAGGGTGACCTAGCGAATTTAGCCCATTTCCGAGAGTGTATGTTGCATGCGCGGTATGATGAAGGGTGTAAGCTACATGCTGGTTGTCTCCCTTGAGTAAAATGCCAGTAGGAACGAATTGACAGACGTGACTGCCCATATCTCCGGTGTGGGTTGGAAGCTAGTAGTTAGGTCTGTTCTGGTGACTGAATCAGTGGCCAGTATCGAAAGCTAAAGTGATGAGGCTTCTAAAATTCCTCCTGGCTGAGGAATGGGTCTTCGGAAGCAGTCGTTGACTGACTTCTGAACCTGGTCAGTTGTCTGCTGACCACGCAGGCAGTAAGGCCTGAAATGCCTGAGTGCCACTGTTTAACAGTGGTGACAGGGAGGTTGATAGTAATTAAATGATGTGTATGAGATACAGCCGGCCTTAGTGGGATAACTCGGGCAGGGTACTCGATGCCGTTCCTGATAAGAAGGTGCAATTAGATATCTGGAACTTTGGAGCCTTCCCTATTATTAGGAGTGGTTGACCCGTTGTGTTGGAAGGCGGTCCATTGGTAGGTGACGTTTAGCTGACCTGGAAACAGGTAAGGCTTGTAAAACCAAATGCACTTTACAGTTATGTGTGGAAACGTCAGAGTGAAGAAACTCAAGAAAGTGTGGTTAAGTGGCGTCGACTTCATAGTACTGGCTCATGAAACACGGATGAATCATGATGCCAGAGACTATGAGTAGAAATCAACTACGTAAAACAGTAGGCTTCTATGTGAATCCACTGGATAAAATAACACAGCAGTAGCCTAAATTGGCATAAACCACGATTGATGAGATTGGTGGGGCTGGTCTACAAAGTGCGGACGATCCTACAAGCCTTCAGGACTGTATGCAGTTTAGTGGGAGCTGTGCAAACAAATGGTAACGAAGTCCATATTCCAATTCGGTTAGTATGAAGGCATCCTGAAGAGACTAAACTGGATCTGACCCTGCAAAAGTGAAAGATGCATTTGGTCTAAGACCGTCAGTGTAAGCCCTAACTGGAATATCACTCGGAGGTGGTTACTAATAATGGTGCGAATTAAAACACATTTATTCTGAGGTGTTGTAGATACTTCAGTGATGCACATCTAGGAGCACGTCTACTCAAGTGGAGGTAAGAACGCTCAACCAATCTAATTGCAAAGTGAATGAGGGCGCGTAGAACCGCAGACAGTTAGAAGGGTTGGGATAAAACTGATCTCCTATGAAAAGACGTTAGCAAAAATGTCCCAACAGAAATGTTCATTTTTATGTGACTACGCCACGTGGATGTTTCCCATATCAGCAAGGGGAGTGATCTTCAGGTACATACAAGAGAGTAAAAAGTCGTATGTGCACTTGGAATGCATACCCGTCCTGTAAAAGGTAACTGAGCTGAAAAATGGGCATGAAACTCGAATAATAAGCAAAACTAAAAGGGTTTTCTACCAAGAATCGGGTTCTTCTTGGATCAAAAGGTAACAATCTACCTTGTTTGAAGTAAATAATTCTTGGATGTAATTCATGATGAATCACGGGACAACTATACTGTCATCCTAGGAAGACAATGAATTTTTTCAGTATGCGCTCGAAATACATCAAATTATAGTTACTTCACCTCACACGTGGATCCTATTTACTAAATATTTCCTATCTCAGATGTCCACACAATTTTGTTACTAAACCACCTCCTAACGACTAAGTTGGTGGTTTGAAACCTTCGAGACCATTGTTTAGTGATTATAAGTTTGAAACACGGCAAACAATATTATTAAACTAGAAGACAGTTGCAAATGACTGAAAACGGCAAGTGATAAGTAATACAGTGTACATATGTAAAACAGTCTCAGGATTTTAAAAACGGTAAAGGAATCATTAGAAATTAAACTTAGAATCTTAAGCGTATCTAAAGTAGATTATCTGAAAGGAGTTTCGTGAATCAGCAGAGGAGTTTTAAAGTTTTTGCGTCTTGTCATTTAAGGTTTAGATATGTAGGGAATACAAAGCTAGGTTCTCAAATCAAGGGGAAATGTTGCATATGTAAATATTCGTCACCGACCAACTCAAGCTTAGAACACCTCTAGTTTGGCACAAGAACCATGTTTGTAAAATTGATTTAAAGGAACCAACCGATTGATCGCCCACAGGACAGTAGGGATTTTATTACCCTTCATTTACTTGTTTTCTCGTCAGTCTTACACTTCTGTCCACTTTAATACAATTATTTTTCTACAAACTTCCTGTTTGTGTGGTGTTGTGACTTACCAAATACCATGCTGTGGCCTTAATGTCGAGTCGGGGGATCAAACTAGCTGCTCTTGGCTATTCAGGATAGCGGATTATCGAAGCTTAGCTAAGTCTAGAACAACAGACTCCGCTAAGGAAAGTAATCTTGTGAGGAATCCAGCCAATGTTATGCAGGCAACAAAACGTAATCACACGAAAGGTTAGAACAGAGTAAAAGTCCTAGAGATTAAAATAGTTTAGCGGAGGGAGAGGCTGCTCATCTAATTCTCGTTTACCAATTCAACGCCGAATAAATACAACAGGAGTGGCTCAACGACAATTTTATATGCATTGAAAATTTTACGAACTAGTCGAACAAGGGGAAAAAGAGTAGAACTATAAACACTGAGTCAAGAAATTACGTGATTGTCTTGATATAACTTTGATCAACAAATCATGCTTGGAAGGTCATTCAGTAAATAACCACGTATCACCGAGAACTATGTCAAATAAACTAATTCATTATGATAATTTTAGTTGTATCTGTTGCTGCTTTGTTGAAGTATGAAGAGGTACGTTGGAAATGAGACATTGTGGGTATATTGCATAAAAATGGCGACATCTGTTACGCTGAAGAATTGTGTCTACCACTGATGTCAGCCCACAATAGCTTAGATATCATAGTGACTTATAACTTGAAAATCACAGAGCACAGCACTTAGTTTGGGGTCTCAGTATCAGAACACATTTGAGATAAAGGAAGAATATTCGTTGGAGTCAAAGTTGATATGTTTATCCTGTCATATACAGCTTTAAGTCAGTCTGAAACGAAGAAGGTTACTGTCTAAATGGTGACCATGATTTATGGTGAATATCTTTTAACATTAAGCCAGAAATGATTAATAAGATGACCGGCTTTTCCTACATGGAAGAATTTTTATACATTAAGGTAGACTAAGTGGAGGCTCAGTTTTAATATTTACGGTTAGGAAAGGCTTTTTTAGCAAGATCTACTTTCCTCTTCATTCCTATAAGTCGTCGATCATGCAGTGTAGTCCTGGAACCTTATGGAACTGGAGAGTCTCAGAACAACTAAGAGTTTATCCGCATGGATCATATCTCCCTGTAAATGGGAGTTAATTAGGAGATACTGACCTCAAACTTGTCTTCAGAAAGCAATTACAAAACTCAGTAAAGAAAGACGTAATCTTTGGCTTTTTGTGGTGGTATGTTATCTAAACTGACCGAACTATCCATATCAGAGAATACAGAACGATCAAAATCATCCTCCTGCGCTAAAAATACTCTCAGTCATCTCAAAATCTTTAGCCTTATTTTTAACCTGTCAGATAATATTTCGAAGAATATTAAGAAGTTTCTTCTCCTTCTTACTCCCAGTAAGTTGAGGACCTAGCGATAATTAAGGAGTGAAAGTGATATGCGAAATTCGGACATACCTCAGCAGTTTGTTCGCCTGGCCAAAAGAACAGCTGATACAGACTAACTTAGGTAGGTTTAATCGGGCATATGTGACATGCAGGTGATAACATACACGACTTGGTTACGGGTTCTTCGATCTCAGTATTGACCTACAACAATCTTAGCTTCATAGTTGATTACAACTCAGCGATAACAACTGCAGATCAGAGTTTCCCGATGCTTTTCAAAAAAGTGGAACATTTGAGAGAACCCGCGTTGACGTGATCACGGTTTTACATAGAGATTCAATGCGATCTGCTTGGAAAACAGTTTATACACATGAATGGCCTTTTTATAAAAAAGACTCAGAAGGTCTTGAAACGGTTCATAGGACGGCCAATTGCCGGACGGGTGCGAATTCCGGCTGAACTTACGAGAAACGACTTCGGAAGTTCTCCACCAACTGTCTTTTGTATTTTCAGATGACAATCGAATTCATTACTCAGTAAATTTTATAAAATCATTTCGGATGCTGTCGGCCATCAAAACACCTAGGAAAACATTACAATCCTCAGGGATGAATCGTAGCACCACATATTATTAACTTTCTAGCAATGAACTCTTGTCCTTGTCGTCGATTAGCTCATTGAGAAGATGATTAAATAAATATATCGATTTTTTTAGAAAACGGATAACACAGGTGTTTACATCCTTCTGACTTGAAACTTATTTTTTCACAATGAAGGGGCATAAAACGCGTTTGGATACAAATTTCCAGCTTACTTTAGAATCATCAATTGACGCCTTCAGTTTCGCAGCAGATCTCATCCTCAATTCAGAACTGCTATCTTGTGGTGAAGGTAAGGTTATATTTTTCCTGTGGGTATGAATTAATGTCATATGTCACAAACCTGTATAGTGGGAGATGAAATGCGGGCTTCCTAATGGAGCTGTTTCCACATACCTTTAATAAAGCACATTTTCTAAAGGAATAAAAATTATGTGTACGCACTCTTTTCTACGAGGAGCAATTCCAAATAATTTTTGTGATTCTTTTTCTCTCTTATGAGTAGCTGCATTGACTTTAACCGTGACAGGTTTTAAATGTTCGTGAGCCTTTGCTCCTAACTTCTGAGCTTCTTGGATTTGCAAAAATGATATATTATATCTGTAAACTGTGAAAGTATGTAGCAGATTACTCGAGAGCATTCAGCTTTTCCTCTATATCTTTTTTTATTCGATATGCTTGTTGAAGCTCAGACTGCAGACATTCTAGGCGGCTTTCACAAAGTGCAGCATGTTCTTTAACTGAGCCATCTGGTGCACTGACAAGCTTTTTGGATAACTCATCACGTTCTGCCGTCAACTTTCCGATCTGCAGCTCTGAAATACGAAGCTGATTACTTATATCCACAGTAATAGTTGTCTAATTATTAGTTACGTAAGTTTGAATTTTTTTCTTTCTTTTCTCGGATTTCAGAATCCATGCGAGTATCTGTATTGAAGATATCGCCATAATCTAAGTTTTCATCGAACATGCTTGACATTTAAATTAGTTCTTTTGGGTTGTTATAGTTTGCGAGCAGTCAAACAAATTGCCATCTGGACATGGAATTGAATATACTGATTCCCAAAGCAACTGGTTCACCCTAAACATTATTTTAGAACGTAAAAATAAATAATTACCTATTTTAGATTATGTAGATCAGAAAAGTTAGAGATTTTCGTGACACACGAATTGTGTTGTGAGAAGAGCATTTATTGCATTGCTTGGAACCGAACCGTCATTTCCGGATTACGCACTCAAGAAGTTCTCGGGCTTGTGGGTGGTTTTCACACTTGGTGAGAAAACTGACTGTAAGCTATCACGTACCGTGGGAAATACTTGACTCTCCAAGTAAATTTGTTACCCCTGTCTGAGATTCTTTACGCTACTATTGATCTGAAGGCCATTTTGTGGCATGCCTTCCGTTCGGTACCCTGCAAACAAATTTATTTCGTGGATAGTGATGGCCAAATTAGAGTGCGAACTAAATACAACCTGTTGACCAGTATAGCTATTAACTGCTTCCAAAGTACCATGTTCTCATCCATTTATGAAGACGATTACGTGTGCTGAGTTGTTTCGGCTCATTTGAAGGCCCTAATGGAAATGCATTCACATATTAGTCTTTCTTACGGATCAACCCATTTAAAACAACTGTCCTGTGAAGTCCTCACGGGGTAGCAAGGTTTACTGAATAATGAATACAGTGTAGTGTCATACACTTCTCCAAAATCAATAGCCTAAGGTTTGACGACTTTCGACATTGATGCTGACCTTGATAGTTCAACTGGACTCGCTAAGCTGAAGGCACCCGGTCAAGCTGTCGTGTCACGTTGCTTTGCTCGTATTCGACTCTCTAGCCAGTTAGTTGGAACGCATCGGTATCTTGGCCCACCCGTCCAAGCATACTATTCCATCCAACTACGCCATCGTGTTCTTCCTTGATCTCGTACTCGTGGGTATATAACAAATCCGAATAGTTAGTGATTGGTCTTTGCGTCTGTCAAGTTCGCACCAGGACAAATCCTAAGACAGCTACTGTCAAATGGTCATTGACTTTGATCATGTCGGTTTCAGAGGGAGTGGTTTGGCATAAGCAAGTCATCCTGTAGGAACACTCGAAAATGTTAGTGAGTGCGACCGTTCCTTTATGAGACGGGCAATTCAGAACATCTGAGTCTTGAAAGCACACTTTCCTAGGCGTTTGTCTCTCTCTCCTGAAAAGACACTTTCCTTCAAGCACATGTGGCAAATGATTTAAACAAGCCTATTTTGTTTTGCATTCATGAAGAAATACGAATACCAAAGCAAGGTAAACCTCATTCTTTATTAAGAGTCCAGGGGTAATTTTGCGTGGCCAACCTCAGCCAGAAGTCAGTCGGCTTATGCAGACTCCATATACTACACTCTCTCTTTTAGATACTGTGGAAAGCTGTCAGCTTACCAGTCGTAAGTGAACAGAAAGTACGAACGGTCTGCAAGTTTGCTAACAAGTTTAACCAACACCTACCCAACCGTAACCCACTGCCCTTGGTACCTGACTTATCTTCTGAATCTGCCACCAGGGGAAGTGAAAACGGTGATTGCTTCCTGCAAAGCCATTATGACGGTCGTTGACTACAAGCCAGTGGTGGGCACAAATATCAGCCCTTGTCTCAGGTAAACGACCGGTGATACTGTTTTCGCTGCATATGCCTAGGCTGTAATTATGCATTAGTTCGTTCAAGTCTGTTCACGTGTGAAGAAATGAACAAGCTTCTTGTACTCCAACAGGTAGCAAGATTTGTATTTAGAGCGCGGATAATAGGGGACTTAATTGGGACTGGGAACAACTTCGCTTATTATATATTGAGGCAAGTTAGTGCCAGTTGATTTTCTTCAAATATGGACAGTAGAGGCAACATCCAATAAATATTCCACATAACTTTTGGTTCAACTTAAGGTTGTGCCGCGATTTGGATGTTTGTCTTTTGACTGTATGCTGGAAACGTTTATTTGTTGGCTTGATTCTGGTGGACACAGTTTTGATCTCTTTGTCGGGAATATTCTTATTGACTCTAAGATACTTAATAATTGCATTTGACTGACCAGTTTTAACCGTGCAGTACGTAGTCGCGCCCGAGAACGTTAGGACTGTGAAGTTATCTGACGGCACTGTTAAATTTTTTTCGTAATTTTGGTATAACTTATTGTAGTTTTGATAGTACCACAGATTTTGTTACAAGTCAGCTACCGATATGCTATAAACGTGTTTTGATATTTTGATCCAAACTCTGACTGTATGTCACTCGCATAAGTTTGGAAGCTATACAGTGGAACGCAGGGATTAGTCAACTTCGCGTTATTTGGCGTCGCCTAGCCATTTCCCGCGTTCAGACCAAGATTATTGAATTTGGGCTGTTACGGGGAAGAACGTATATTTGCCCACTTCATTCCTTCCAATATCCATCCAAGGTCAGGCCGTTCTTAAGGCTTTTGAACCCTTAAGTTGGGAAGTCGAAGACCAGACGGTTAGGTATGGATTCCTGTCTTTTTTCTGGGTGATAGGCAGTGGTAGTATGCAAAACTTGATTGGAAAACTCAAGTTGACTTTAAATGCGGTCAGTTCACCATACAGACAGCATGCAGACCAAATTAACTGCCTGATCTTAAGGTCAACACGTCATGCAGGTAAGAAGTGGTGGAATTATGCGTATGAAGTGGACTGTGGATTTTTCAGAATTGTTCACCGCAAAAAGAATGAAGTCCAAACGTAGAAAAACCCTACAAATTTGATATTATTCGAACTCAAATGTGCAAGAAAAATCAGCGCAACAAAAGCGGGATAGACCGCTGCTATAATAGTAGTATAAAATCTTGGTAGGAATATCATCGAAATCTTACTGGGTCAAAGATCCTGGAATTTAGGACGCAGTTAGTTTCTTCCCGTGGTCACAGAATATTCATGTGGGCTCATGAAAACACCGTCAAACAAGGGATTCATGAAAAATGAAGCAAGATGATTTTGTAACTCTTGGTTTTGTCCCAGGCAATCGAAGTGCCTTGTTGACAGTCCCTAAGTTGGTGAATTGAGTTCCAAACAAACGCTACCAAACAAATCGGCTGATAGGAGTCGGGACAACATGTAAAAGAAATCTACGAAGTCACTTCGTATTCCTTTATAATCTCCAAGGCTTAGAGCGATATTACCAGGTATGTCTTTACTACTGTCTATTTCTCGACACCAATGAAACTGTAAATTTGTAAATGTGAACAGCTACGATTCATTCCAGTTTCCAGATTCAGTTAACCGTCGATCATTTCATTTACCAAGTACTGCCCTCTGCACTGAACCAAGAATGCGCTGATTTCCAACCGAGATGTACGACACTAATATGATCACGTCATCCACTCGAAAGCGCAGATGTAACTTTTTCATTTCTTTGAAAAGGGCCGTGATCCCTTGACTAATTTTGGAATCTGGCTCTCTGGGATGTCTTGAAAAGTAAATCGCTCGTCTGTTCAGCCACCAACCCGGCTAGGTTTGCGAAAACGTATCGCATCCACAAAAGCTAACGTTTTGCGGTGTGATTTTCCAGGTCTGTTTGATGGAAGAGTTTGGTGTCTTTTTTAGACCTTATTCCACCCCACGAGAATAGCCGAACTTTATCGCCCTCAGGAAGGCTGTTTTCCTCTTGGTTAATCTCCCACTTTCAATATGCCGTTTTATCTGTTTGCCTCTAGGGGGAATGCTTTGCATATAAAGGAGGTAGTTGTGTTCCGCGGCTGCACCTTCATGCTTTAATTTGAGTGATCTAGCCCAACACTGTCTTATGGTCGAGTTGGCTGAGCCGGTTGTCAGGTTTCTTTTTCTGTTCAGCCGCTAGATTGCACTTTTCCGATTAACCGTTTCAGAGAATTTCAGCTAACAGCTCCCATTGCTTCCCGTACAGACAATTTATACTCTCAGTTTCCTCAGGCTTTCATCGAATGACCACTGATCACCCATTTGCGCATTCAGCCTCGCAAGTGTGATGCAGATTATGCACTGACGAAAACTACCGCAGTGGCATGCATCGTGTGTGTTACGAACTAAGTCAATTCTTTTATCATGCAAGCTACCATGACATAGCTGCTGCATCGGTTGTTGCCAAACTCGTCTATCCCATTCTTCACACCGACAAGGTTATACTAGGGATCAGTGGGTGTCTCTTTTGGAAAATAATTCTTACCTCTTAACCACATGATAGTTATATTGAAGAAGATTATTATGAAGCCGTTTCGTCCTGCTATGTCGCACTTCTAGGCGTATAAACATGGCCAAAACGTCCTACTTAGGTTCTGCCACTGGCTCCTTAAATCGGCGTTCAGTGGGTCAGTTTAGTCAAAGAGAGCATGGGACTGCTCATTCTTATTCATTCATTCAATTTTTTAGTAAACGGAAGTGACCAGGCTGGTTCAAAACAAACTTAAGTTCGTCAAAATACTTATTTTTGGGGGTTATTCTTCAATATGTAAACTCTGCCGATTTCCCTTCTGTCGATTCAAGCATCTAACAAGATGCTTGGGTGACGCCATGGATTTCCTAAATTAGATTGGTTGCCAAATGTTTTAGCCCACTGTTTGTCATCGGCACGGTGCAATTTACTTTCATGACAGGTCGGGCGAATTAATTCTGATGAGCTTGTGCATAGTGTAACTACCGCTTAGAAAGTAATAAATCCATCAGAACGGTTGCAGTCAGTTCTGTGAGTGGTGTGGTTTGCTTTCGCGTCGAAGCCATCACGGAAGCTCGGACATTGAGGAGTTAAGATTCTTCTTGTGGCTGGAGCTTTTCTTTCGTTAGCCCGTCGTACTTACACAATACTGATCCATAATAGGTCAGATATTACTGACATTGCAGCATCACACCTGGAAGTATGGAGTAAAGAACTTACTGCGCTGGTCTCCGTGTGTGGTTGGGTATTTACAATCTTTACTTCGTGGACTGTTTGGCAAGAACTGGGTTTGTAAAATTTCAGGCTGACTTTAGCGCCTTCCCTCGTTGCTGTCCGACGCCGAAATTGTTCATAAATACTCTCCTTAGGCTCCACAATGGCCTCATAGTCCTGGAGGCTTCTGGCCCAATTTATGCTAGCTGTAATTGCAACAGTTACTTCGATGGGGATTACGATTTTCAGTGAGGCTTCAGAGTCTCCAAAGCAAGTGGATTTTGGTGATCGGTATGAAATGCGTCCAGAAATGAAGGAACCTCCTAACGAATGATTCACAGAGGGTGGCAGTACAAACCTCAGAAGTGAGATATTTTGAGCATCTGGATACTGTAAAGGCTCTTTGCTAGCCTTACTCTTTTCCAGTGTTCAGTGGTTCCAGGAAAAGGTTGGTCCACCCATCTGCTATTCAACTGTTATGATGGCAGAAATTTAGAGCCATCAAAGCGAAGGGATTTATCGTTCAGATTGACACTGACAAAGTACCTACTTTTGAGTTGGCTGTTTTCATAGTTTGGACTCCATGTGGGACTGGCTTTGCTTAAGAACCATAGGAGGATGCCGTGGGTAAGGCGGAATCAAAAATCCTAACAGCTTGGGCTCACTATTGTATGTCAGAGATTCTGTTATTGATCCGTAGTAGCTGATGTACCTCGTCAGTCCGAGTACTGCAACCGCAAATGAAACCAATGAACCAGTCTGCAGTCCACCAGCAGTGAACATACAAGTTAACATCCTTCCTCCGATTTAACCTCCTTATCTCTGTCTACTAAATAAACTGTTTGTCTGGGTAGTTTTAACCGTGTGACGTGTTTCCTGGTTTGGCTTTTCTTATCGGTACTTACTTGAGGGTGGGACTCTGATAATAATAATAAATTTTCATATTCACATCAGTAATTAACATGACAGAAGCCAGTTTACAGGCATCATCACATTGATATATGTCAAAAAATCTACGAGATTTTACGGGTCCTGAATAGTACGGATGGAGGTCGTTTAACTCCATCAAAAACATCAGATCACGGTTACGGGGCAAAAAAATACCACTTTCAGCATGTGCAATGCGTCAAAGTGAAGATAATGAGAAATTCCCATTCCCATATAATGGATTTAACATGACAGATACCAGCTCACAAGCACCGTCAAAATGATGATTTTGATAGTTCACAGAATAATGCCGGGAATCATATAACTCACATAGCAAGTTACTGATATGCATAAACTTAATAAAACTTGCTGTAAATCAAGAAACGGGTTTGGATTTCCATCCGTCATTATACGGAAAGGTTCCACTATCAACGACAAAAGCGCGCAATGTTCAAAATTTGCGTTATAACCAGACGACGTTGTTAGTCCGTTTTCATAGTTTCTTATTTAGTAATATAAACATCCATTCGCTAGAAAGTCCTTCAGTTTTTAGCTCTGCTAACCACAAAGGGCCTATTTATACGATCTGGAGTATCAGTATGTATCCACTGTTATATAACCGAGGTCAGTGTTTAACTCCACTCATTTCCAGTACACCATGTGGTTTAAAAGTAGTATACATTTATTCAACTGGAAGTACTTCTAGTAGTGGATGAAGGTAGACGTTGAGACGGTTAATAGTTCAAACGGCAGCGGTTACATGTGGACTTCAGGCATCGTTCATATTGGCACAAGCAGCATCATTCGGGAAGTGTTTTTGATGCATGGTAACTTTTACTTAAAAAATCACTTGATACAGAGCACTATAGAACGTGTGGTGTGGGATTACTGCAGGCAAGTCATTCCGAGCCAAAAAGTATATTGGTCTCTCGTTTGATCATAATATTTGTGCCACTATGGCTGTTGAGAAACTTTAGACGGTTCGTCGCAAGAAGAATCCTAACCAGCTGATAAGTTGATTGTGAAGATGTTTCAGAAACCGCGAGAGATTGGGAGCAGTCCAATAATTCATGGAGTTAAACAGTAGGCATTATTTCCACTTAGTAGGTATGTCCAGACTGAAATTCAGCCTTGAATGTCGTCATTGAGCTGTTGCTGTAAAATAAAAAACAAAGAAGAAGCACGAGCAGATGTGGGAAAGGGAATTATCAGGCAGACCAGCTTGGAAAAGAGAGAAGTTCCTATACTTTTAGACTTTTTTGGGTACCCATGGCTGCACATCAGAGTACTCTGAAAGCGCATGCACATTGCCTTCCCAAGGAATATGAAGCACGCGGGTTAGTATGTTATCAGTACTCATAATACCGATTACAGAAACTTGCACGCAAAGTCCTCTTCTGTGTAATAAAGTGTTTCATTCTTAACATCTGCAGTTTTTAGCATAATTTCTCACTGGAACACTTTCTCTGTTACATAATTTGCATGCGCGTAGACTGTGTGCACATTCATGGTTATTTTGGAAATAACTGTCATGTATGTAGTTTGAAGTGCTTAAAACATTAGCATGAAATTCCTAACGTTTGTAGTTGAGGCTAAATGTTGGGTAAAAGGTTTGTCCGGACATTGGAACTTTTGATACTTCCTGGTAAAGTGTTTGAGTGAACTCTGCAGTTATTGACATCCGGCGAATGGTTTAAACGAGCTTTGGAATTTTTTGGCTGGACTTCTTATGCACTTTAACGATGGTGGTAATTTCGGGTAAAGGTTTCGATAATTTCGGAGGCGAGAATACATTGTCTACGGTAAGCACTAGGTTTTCGGCCGCTTTTGCCCAAAAGTTTCACACAGCCCCTTAGTTGTTTGTCGACTGAGTTGCTTTTTTCAAGTGTACTTTCGGAGTGAACCGTGGGCCCCAGAATCTGGGGTCGATCAAGAAGGTGGAATTCCCCTTATTGGTGAGAATGGTCTCAAGCCTAGATTTTGAACTCATCCATCTATGTTTCGGTTTGCAATGAAGATGAATGAATACACTTCT